AAAGACATTTTGTCGATGAAGATTTATCCATACCTGAGCTGTCGCCACGAAATAAACGAAACAGACTTAAAATATACCTGCAATTTGCAGAAAGTATGGGACAGCTCTGACTCGCTGAATGGAAATAACTGCTCACTATTTATCTTTATTCGATCTACAATTCCAATGATGAGTGGCGATTTTTTAACACGATGGAATGCGATCACCGTGGGAAAGGGGAGGGAAAAAGGACAATTTTTAGGTATTTCATATTTTTGGATAGAAGTTTTGGTTCTCTTATCTTACGAAGGAACCACCTTCGTTCCCAACCTTTCAAGTTAGGGCGAGACTGTAAATTTGTATTGCCGTACGGAAATACAATTTGCTCGATTCTTTTTGGTTTTGTTTTGTGTACAAAATCTTTGCTGTAAAGATTCGAAATATCATTCCTTAAACTGAAAGGAGGTTTCAGTCAGGAATGTTGACATCTGTGAGAAAAAGCAATTCAGTCACCCGTTTTTCTATAGGTATACAAAACAACAAAGCAACATAGGTATACGAAAGTCCTCAGACCGCAAGCACTTGTTATAGCTCCAAAATCGTTTGGCATTTTCCTCTAGGCTACCCCTAATCACATTATTAAGATAGTCATTGTGGGCGGTCTTAAGTAATTCCACCACTCTGTTTCTTTGGCAGCGATATTCAAGCCACTCTGGTGAGCGTTTGTCACCCGTGCGCCTTGCTTTTTTCAAGACGGCGGTCCCTTTTATCCGCTAATCCTGGGGAGCGAAATTCTTGAACTTGACATTTTTTAAGGGGACATGCTTATCAACTGCTACAGTCAATATGGTCTTGAAGAATGACCAGTTGACCTCAAGATGACTATATGGGCACAGCGAGTGAAAAATTCTGAAGCACCTTTTGAGACATCTTGACGAAGTTTGTCGAAATCAGCCTTATCATATTGGTATACCTTGAGGGGAAGGCGTGACGTCCTATTGTATTTAGATCGAATATTGAAAAAGACAATATCATGGTCTCTCATGCCTGGTATGACCCGTGCAAAAGAAACCAAGGAAGGAAATGAAGATAAGACTAAGTCTCCAGTCTTAAGCGATGCAGGGCGCGTGGGAGTATGACGTTCCCTCGAAGGCTACTGTAAAATGGGAGAGTTGATGAAGAATATGTTAAAGTTCCTCTAGCATGGCCTACCACTATATGATCCGACCATTATATGAGTGCCTACACCAAGCATTTACCCTTTTTTTCCTTCATTCCTTCATTCTGCCTGTTACAATCTGGATTCCAACTTACGCTTTAGAACTGAAAATGACTACTGCACATAATGTCTTCATTATGTGACGGGCACAGGATGGATAAAGGCTGACTATCCTTGGTGTTCCTGTGACCTGCCACAGTGTATAGGCATTGGTGCACTGTAGTAAAAGTGGTGACAGGCTGAGCGATCTCATATGTTTTTACGGCTAGCGTTTATTTCTTTGTAGTAGCGACTACACTTCAAGTAAACTTAAGATTTTATTGTCCATTGTTTAACACATTTTTATCTAAGGTACTTGGTGATTCGTGATACTGATTAGACTTGAAACGACTCGACTCATAAAAACTCTTTAACACTTGCACAGTAACTATTTTCAGTGCTTACAAGTTTAAGCTGGTACTTCGTTTAACAGGCACAATGAAGAAAAGAAAGTTTACTTGGTTTTGTAGGTAAATTTTTTTTTCACTAATTTTAGAGAGGTTTCTTTTCAACTTTCGAAGTAGATGACATGTGGCTTTTAGTGAAAATAAAGAATGCGTTCCTACAGTCTCAGGCAACAATCAATCCTGCAAACATCCATTTCTGACATACCCTTGGAGAAAAGATTAAAACGATACATGTCTGCAAACGTGTTCGAGGGAGCGGGAAATGGATATTCACTTTGTACAGGACTATTAGGTCTTAACTGAAGATCCCTTCTTCTTCTTCCTTTCCCTTCTAATTTACGTTTAAGATTTTACGAACTAGTCCAAGAGAGAATAATTGGATCTGTCCAATTATTTTCTTCCCTAGTAATCTGCTCAAGTGGCTCACAAACTCAGGGAACGTTTCTCGTCTGATTGGTCACTTGATTACTGGCGTTTCGACTAGCAGCTTTTTATATACTAACACTTACGCAATTCATACCTGTAGAGTGCTTTCAGATAATCTTATCAAGACTATTGGGCATCGGGCTTTCAGTATCCCTGCAGATGGACAAGTGTTAATGTAAGTAAGACTATTTGCATTGTTTATTTTGCTACTACTAATTGCGCCCAAGTAGTAGTAGCAAAACTTTATTTGAAATCGGATTGAAGAGTAGCACAAGCGCTAGTATCTCCTAGAGATACCTGGAATATCAGTTTAATTACACAGAATAATCTAAAATTATAAAACATATTATATGTATATACATGGTAAAAAAAAAAGAACAAGTAATCAAGCTAGCTCACAAAGTTCAGACAAACGAACATTGTTTTTAAAGTGAGCTATGCTAGGGGTAGCTCTAAGATCATGAAGATGATGTGAACTTCGGAAATACAAATTTTGAATGAAGATATGATGATCGCAGTGGTTATTGCAATTTAAGCTATTACAAATAAAGCCGAAAAACTTTTTCGGGACTTCAAAAGGATTTGAACCCGTGGCCCCTGCGTTAGCGCTGCAGTGCTCTACCATTTGAGCTATGAAGAACCACACATTGGGAGCAGGCCAATTTGTTGAGTTCATCTTATCTAAGATGATATGAACTGCGGAAATACAAATTTTGAATGAAGATATGATCGTCGCAATGAAGATAAGATCATCATCTAAAGTCAAAACTATTTTATAATTTGGGTGCTAAAAATTTCAAAGAAGGTCTGCCATAAAAAATAGTATTGACCCGTGTTTTCTGTAAACTGTTTTTACCCCTAAGCTAAGTGCTAGTTCTAGGTACTAGTGGTGCTGATATGTAGGAAGGTGAGTCGGCTTGAAAGAACTTGAAAAGAAGAATTAACTTTAAGTAATAATCATGGGTACAAAGTAGTGTAAAAAGATAATACCAACGAACTTAAAAGGTAATAAAAAACTTTTCAGTTAACTTTTCGCAATTCCTTCCTTTGCAGCTTCATGATTCGCACTCAGTTAAAAGCAGTGAGCCTCGGAATCTTCTCTTTTCTCGATTTTCAAAACCTAACTTCTGTCATGTAAGTACGATTCGTATATAACCAGAACTGTTGCAGAAAATGGCCAATTTATATTAGAGGGCCCTTTTAAGTACGTATAAGATAAGCATTAAACTCGCAGCCTTTTCATCAGGAATCACCCTCGTTCACTTCGCCCACTTGTTCAATTTCGGATACGTTAACAGCTAGTGCAACACCGTACGCGCGCTTTTCATGAAGCATTCTATATAAAACTCAACTGGTGTCCCGCTTATCAGTTGCTACGCTCATAGGGAATCGGGCTTTGCTATCGATAAGAAAGATTTAACAATCCAATTTTCGTTTTCTTTTGTAGAACCATGAATGATGGCAAAATTGGTGCCATGAAAGTTTTGGATTCATTTCAACGAGAGCGCTGTACTATTTCTCTGTTCGTAACTTTCTTTAATACTGTAATGCAATATTCTAATATGCGGTGGCATTGCCTTTGACCTTCATTTAGTGAGTTACTATTATAGCTTCATCCATCACCCCGATGTAATCTATACTGAACAGACGAAGATAAAATTTTGCCAAACCCATTTTCTCAATTCGCACTGTGAGGTATAGGTGAATCTGTATTTTTGTCTCTTTTCTGATGTTGAAAGAGCGTTGCAATAGAAGTCGAACCCCTCGTAAGCGACCACCCAAAAAGCCAAGCTGTAGTTGTCGCTAAGGACAATCGAATCAAAAGTGGTCTCTTCCGAAAAGATCTACTTTTTGGAAGGGAATTTTTTGCAGGCAACTTCTAAGGTACGATGAGTGTTGTCCCATTTGATTCAAGTTCTTGTTTTTCAGATCACGTGTAAGATTTTAGACCAAATTGCACTTCACTCAGTTCCATTTTAAGTATTTTAAACATCTTCAGGAAACGAAAATCACAAAAAGAGTAATAGCTTTAAAAAAGCTCATGAAGGGATTTCGAAACGATGGCTTGCTTACTGAATGTATGATGCTATAGAAATCTTAAAGAAAGTGAATGTCTGGAACTCTTTAGAGAATACACGTCTTAACACCTGATGCGATCCATGCAACGTTTCACAGAGTGGGAGATTTTCGCTTACGAGAGTAGGTCGAACATGATGGTTCGACTATAATAGTTACCTTTGAGCATTTGAGCCCAATATATTATACAGAATAGTTTCATTTAAGAGCTCGTTAACTCATTTGCTTCCCTCTTCAGCAATTTTGCAGATTTTGATGACTGCTATTTCCTTGGATATTACGTAGATATTACTTGCAAAAACCTGAAAATTCCACAGATTGCCAGCTAAGTTTAGCAACCTCGGCTCTAAACTTGTGAACTCAATCTAGATATACCTTGTTTTTTATTTCATAGAATTATAAGAATATGAAAAATATTTTTTGAAAACCAACCTAACGAAATTTGCTGCCATTTGAGTGAAAAAGCATCAACAGGCAGGTTTCTTAAGCCCGAGAAGCTCCAAAATCATAGTAACGAAGGAAAAGGAGAGGAGAAAAAGAAAGAGCGAGGAGAAGGAGAGGAGGAGAAGAAAAAAAGTAATGATTGCACTGTTAGTTTTTATAATAGCTACTTTGGAGGTACTTTTTGGCCGAAAAAATTGTTCGACACAAAAGGTCCATTTGCAATAACGTTATCAAAAATCCGGCTAGATGTACAATTAACTAATTAAAAGTGCAGTTACTAAAAACCATCAAATAATACAAAACACGTTCGATAAATACGATGTACCAATCTTTTGAACGACCTTAATGTCAATTTATTACATTTTATAATAAAAGTTTTTTACTGAATCATTTATATCTTTCAATCTAGCGGCTTGGGCCAAGATAACTCTACTTCCCTTGACCTTTGGAAATATTCGGGCACCAACAGAGCACTTCTCCATTCATTTAAGCGAGCTGGTTTTGCGGATGCAACTCTTGGTTACTACAATTTACGACCATGTCCACTTGGTACTTTTGTAAATGCAAGTCGTCTTAAATGCGTCGAATGTCCTGCAGGTAAAATATATATTGTGTTACATAATTATTATTTAAACTTGTACTTTGCCTATGGGTGATGATTAATTCAAATCACAAACAGCAGTGCTAGAATTCGAGTGCGAATGAAGCACTAATAAGTTTAAAATTGATGAAACACTTGCTGTGACTTTTTTCAACATTTTCAAAAACGTCCCGAGTTACATTCTTTTATTTCTATTGTATTGCTACTATAAAACTATTTAGTTAATAGGTTTCTCTTTGTAAAATCTGTTGTGATACATTGTGAGCTGAATTTATCAGTTAAAGGGTCTACTTGCCTTTGAATTGCCCGAGAAGAATGTCAGCAAGATGGTTGTATATCAATTGGCGTTGTTCTTTCTCTCTGGTGTTTTAATTTACTGACTTCGACAATACAGAGGTTAAGCATCATCTTTACGTCTAACGGCAAACGCGAATTTGTACCACGTGACCAAGTTTCCCAACAACAACATATCCTTCATTCAAACGCGGTAGGATTTAAAGCTCAAAGCTTGTGGGGTCATGTAAAAGTAATTACAAATGAATATAGAACTATAATAAAATTAGGGATAACATTACTTATAAAATACAACTACAACAAAAACTCTAAAAATATACAGTAATATTCTAAAAAGATACAATGTTAAAATGAATTTACATTAGTTACCACTAAGTAAATTGACTACAACATTTAAAACATAAAATAGTTACGAACATCTAAAATCTTAGTAGTGCCTGGGCAGCGACTGGACCGACTGTGCGCTAAAATCAAGTTCCTTAAAATAACAATCCTTCTTCACTTTACGATAAAAAACAGTAAACTGGTCTGAAAACGAATGAGTCGAGACAGCGTTCCAAAGAATAGCGCCTCTATAGCTAGTAGAGTTTTTAAGAAACTACGAGTTAAAACGATGGACGATTATGTTATTACTCCTCCTGAAATTGTACGCAGTGCAAGATTTATTTGTCAAGTATGAAAGAGCCGCAGGTGCTAAACCAACAAACACGCTATAAAGTAGTTTTATTAATTAATAATTTTATAATACACCTTTTGCAGTTCGTCTTATCCATTCTAAAGCTGTCCAGGAATGCTATTGAATTGCAAACAGTGTCATAAAAATGTTAATGAATAGCGTTTACACTTAAATGTTTGTCTATTGTCCCTAACGATTTTCAATATAATGTTAATGACTCGAATGTTGGCGTTAACGAAAGTATACTTTTATCTTTTGTATGCCGAATGACGCAAATGAATGCCCAAAAATGTTATTGAATGTTGATTAAAATGCAAAAATAGTTATTGAATCTGATTTATGCGCAAATGTTCGTTTTTCGCGCTAATGAATGTATCTTCGCGCTGTTGGTCGCCGTTTCACGCAAACGAATGCGTATTTTCTCGTAATGAACAGCAAAAAGTTGTAGAAGGTTAAAGTATTCCAATTCGAATGTCGGTATACTTCATAAGTAGGCACATCGCGGGGCAAGTTGTATATTATTCTGGATGCCCTACAGTGAAGTACTTCCAGGGAATGTAGAAGGTGCGCATTAGGGCAGCCGCCCCAAACAACCAATTCCATACAGAAATGATGGCAATATTATCTTGGAGTACAAGTTTAATGGGGCTTTTCTGCACAAAAACAAACTCCTTTTCACAAGGTTCAGTTTGTGAACAAAATTCCTTTTTACATCCGTAAGGTAGTGTGACCAGGAAAGCCTGTCATCGATAGTAACGCCCAAAAGACGAGTGTGTTTCACCCACTCGATCCGATCCTCTCCAATAGACACAGAATTTAGCCGCCCGAAGTGCGGTTTTCTCATCAATAGCATAGCTTCGCACTTTGCCGAGTGAGGAGTTAAAGAGTTCTCTAAGCACCAACTATTCAGTTCCGATAAAGCTTTATTTAAAGAAGTGACAGTGTTATCAACAGTGTCTCCAATGTAATAAATGGTGGTGTCATCCGCTTACATAAAGACAGAGCCAGAAGTAGCAGCACTTGGTAGGTCATTGCTATACAAGGTGAACATCGTTGGGCCCAGCACTCCCCCTTTACTCATCGTTTACTTTTCATAATTTCAACACATAAATTAGTAGTTTCATGCAATTTTTTATCCATAAGAATTGTTTTGACCTGTTTTTATCTGCTGATTTTCCGTTTTGAGAAATTCTCAACTTGGATCTGACGTTTGCCATTTGCCGTATACGTGATGCTCAAACTCTCTTCTGTCTCGATTCATAAAAACGCAGAAACTGGTACTAACTTTGCCAGTATCCAGCCGGCCACATTTATTGGACTCTTAATACGACTAGATGCCAGCTTTTTTTCTTATGCCATGCAACAATAAAGTCCGCCCACGGAAACCAATCATATTACGGGAATTCTACGTTATTTGTAGGTCATGAAATTAAAAAAGGAGCGTCGGACCAAAAACCAAGGATTTTGTAAACCGGCAATTTTAACCCAAACTACTTTTTGTCGGCTCTGTAGATCCATTTTAGTCATATTTTGGGACTACTACACTTTCTTATAGGAGGCTTCTATTCGGATACCATAGCGTTTGTCAGTAACGGCTGCCTCAGATGTCCAAATGGAACTTTTGTGCCATACAGTAAGGCGCCTGGTAAAAGCGCCCGTGAGTGCATTGCTTGTCCACAAGGTAAGCATATTTTATAGTCAAACTTAGTCAAACATAAATCACGCAGATTATATTGATAGCGGCAGGGATATCAAATTCAAATCTGCATTTTTGCATGCTTAATGCGCAGTGAATTTCGCGCTGCAGATTCTCAGCATTGTATCAGATCAAGATAAATCGTCTTCGATGGCTTTTGAATAAAATTCTTTATCGAACTCAAGAAGAAAACACAATAATTTTAACCATCTGCTGATTTTACTGCTCATCGGATGCTGGTTAGCCTGAATTTCATCCGATTACTTCGAGTCGTTATTACTCCCTCAGTAACGTCTAAATCGACCGGCCGTTAATGCCGTCCAGTGACGTCGCTACTCCTTGACCTTTGCCTTAATTCATGCAAAAAGTAAAACACGATTTTCAAGTGGCAAACCGAGAAATATCGTTTGGAAATGTCTGCATGATACAGAACTGCTTTATTTTTTTTCTATCGTAATTCATGTTTAACGTTCAAACTATCAACTGCATGCAGTACAACTCTGAATCGCTTGTACTAAATTCTATCATCAAACTCGGTCGCAATCACGCAATGAAATAAACACACACACGGAACACTTAGTTCAAAAACATGAATGATTTGTTTTAATTGAAAAGAAGCTATTTGGTCCTTAACAAAGAAAAAAACAAGGAGACAAGAAAGAAAAGCTAACAGAATCATTACACTTAACGGTAAAAATAGCAAAATCTCAGAAAACTTCGCGTAAACAAAAGCACCGGCCGCCGAACCACAAAGCGGCTCTAAATGAAAAACCTACCGACTCTCCGCAATGATTCTTCATTCGCAGTTCAATTTAACATTTCAGTTTCGAAGACAAGGGCAATTTTGCTGTTCAAGATAAAGATTAAGCTTATCGAAATGTTTGAACTACACGAAAGAATGCCACGGTGCGATCCGCTGAATATCAAGCGACAACCCCGCTGAAATTTTTCATAATTATACATAATTATGCGAATGTTTAGACGATCAACCAATCAAAATAACTACCCGGTTTTCGGGTAGTGAGTGACGTCACTGGACGGCATTAACGGCCGGTCGATTCAGACGTTGTTGATAGGAGAAAACGACTCGAACCAATCGGATGAATTTCAGGCAGGATGCTAGTAAGAATGATAAGAATCACCACAAGATTTCAAAATGTCAACTATTATATGGTTACAAAAGTACGAGCGTTTCGATGGCTGCTAAGCTGGCAAAAGTTTCTTGTAATGGCCGGCATTATTCGCTAGGTGTCCAAGGCATATACAATCTGTGTTTAACTCGATAGTGGAAATCCATGTTATAGTCAATTGAGAGCTGTGAAAAAAAGATATCCGCTGGCCAGTGTCACATGTCTGTATCGCGGGCTCAAGTTTACAACCCATTGAGGTGACTTGTTTTTTTGAAAGTTATGCTCTGACCAGTTATTGGTTTTAATTGATCGCAGGCTCAATTACTTGCGGTGTTATATATTTAGAGCGCTAAATGGCCACTTATTAACTTCGTCCGTTCGGTCATTACAGGGATTTCCCATAATGACCTCACTGTCGGTTAATAAGTTGTATATAATGAATTCATCATTAGAATCTATGGTAGTACGCTTGACCTGGTTTGATTGTAATTTATAATTTAAGAAGAAGGAGAATCAAGCACCAGAAAGCTCAGAAAAATTTTTCGAGCTCCAGGTGAGAATCGAACTCACGACCTAGTTAGAAGATGGAATGTGAAAAGTGTACAGAAACTGCGTTATCCCTGTTAGCTTGTTCAAAGTATCTGATGACGTCAGTGAAGTTCAGATAAAACTGGTCAGAAAATATATAGTGGAAAGAAACGAGATTATCTGCTTTGGCAATGGCACTTATGCTTGATTACGTCAGACGAGCAAATTTCACCACCAAGCCTCGTTTCTAAGCAAACTTCTCCTTTTCACTTAATGAGCGTGAGTATTCTTTTCGACTCTACTCCCGTTGGAATTCATTTATGCAAAATTCTGTAACTTACGAGCTTTGGTGGTTAAATTTACTCGTCTGAAGTAAACATGCATAAGGACTATTGTCGAGTAAGATAGAAAATAGCCTGAGAAAACAGCCGACATTTGGCGACGCTACCACTGGTTTACCCGCCAAATGACGTCTGAGAAACGAGCACAGAAAGCCCATACTGATGACGCGTCACTACCGAGATCTGGGTAGTGCTTCTGATTGGTCTTGCAGCGTAGGAAATTTGATTCAACCAATCAGAGTCACCACCCAGATCTGGGTAGTGACTCGTCATCAGTATGGAATTTCTGCGCTCGTTTCTCAAACGTCACCTGGCGGGAAAGCCAGTGGTAGCGTCGCCAAATGTCGGCTGTTTTCTCAGGCTAGATAGAAAAGCTTGATATCGATTTTGAACTGAGAATTTATTTACCCATATCCTTAGGGTTTTGCCTCAGCTTTGTTTGTTTGTTTGTTTGTTTGTTTGTTCGGCATGGCTATGCTGTCCTTCTAATTCAAGGCGGTGAAACTTTCTTATGAAGTAGCTTTGTTGTATTTAGACTCATTTGACAATGAAGCCTTCAACTGCCAAAACCTGCAAGCTTTCAAACTTTATGTGTTTTTTAAAAGAGGAAAAAATATATTTTCGTGATTGCAATACATTTCATCCAACTAACAGACTTTTGCTTTTTTTAGGCACAGATACTTCCACATTTGCTGGGTTTAGAGCTTGCAGCTGTCTGAAAGGATTTCATCGTACCCATCTTTTTGAAGGCTGCACACAATGCAACGAAGAAGGATTACAATGTGTGGATGATCATGTTAAGCTGAAGAAGGGTTACTGGTGGAAATGGGAAAGTCAGACCCACAAACAATTTTATGAATCATTTGCACGTAATCTCTTGGATTCAAGGAACTCTTCCTCGCCAAATGCGTCCCTCATCGAGTTCCCATACACTGTTCCTACGCCGCACAAATGTCCACAACCAGAGGCTTGCTATGGCGGTTTCAATTCTTCTTGCGCTAACGGCTATCAAGGACCGCTGTGTGAAATTTGTAATGATGGCTATTACAAACAGTTTCAAACGTGTAAAAAGTGTCCAACGAAGAAATGGATGATCGGACAACTGTCGATCGTGGTGGCAGTTATTCTGGTCATTATTTTAGTCATCCTATGGTCAAGTAAAAAGAAGCAAAAGGAGGAGAATAAAGGAAGATCTACAGTGGATATGATACTTGGAAGACTGAAAATTGTCATCGGCTTTTACCAAGTCACTGATGGCCTGTTACAGACATTTTCCTATATTAAATGGCCAGATTCTCTTTCTGTCATTGGAAAATATTCGGAGATGGTACAGCTTAATGTATTTCAAATTGCGCCTCCTCACTGCATCTTTCCTGAATTGAAGGTCAATGCTTTTAAGAGCTTGTTTGCGATCCTTGCAATGAATGGCACAGCCATCATCATTGCGATTCTCATTTATTGTTTACGAAAGCTTCTACTCGAACGGAGTGCTTCCTGCAAAGAGGAAAAGTTAAAGAAATCTTCTCAAACGAAAGAGCTGATCTTCAGAAACCTGTTTTTCTTCCTGTACGTGACATATCTCAGTACCTGCTCCAATACAGCTAGTGTGGTTCCCCCAACTTGCCGTCTGCTTTGTTGGGACAAAACGAAAACCCAGTGTCAAAAGTTTCTTAAGACTGACTACAGTATCGACTGTGAGAGTACAGACTACAGTCGATCAGTCATCGTTGCCTACATTGCAGTCGCTTACATACTACTTCTTCCCACAGCATCACTTATAGCTCTCTGGAAAGCGCGATTGACCGTTACAAGTCAGAATGAAATGGAAGACGAGCATCAAAATCCTGATATCAAAGTGAAAAGTAGCGAAGTCACCACAGGCTTGCGATTCCTTTTCGAAAACTACCACCCGCGCTCGTGGTACTGGGAACTGGTAGACACAGTACGGAAGGTGGTCCTCACGTCAGGTCTGATCCTGGTTGGTGGTGAAAGCAGAGCATATGTGGGACTGGCTTGCGTCATGTCAGGACTCTATGGAATGTTTTTTGCCTATGTCAGCCCTATAGTGGATCCATTCGAGAACAGGCTAATGCTGATATCTCTGGCTGTGACCTTTGTAAACTTGGGAATAGGAGCTGTGAGTAAAATTAACAGCGAGAACATTCCTGCCTCAATCGATCCTTATGTGGATAAAATCATGTTCAAGGTTCTGGTGTTTGGAGCAAATTCTTTGGTAATCGGTCTTCTCGTAGGTGAGTCAAGTGTAAAACTACTTCGGTTATTAATTTACCTTTCAATAGTATAATATTCAACCCTGGGTATTGTTATTAATGACATTATAGGGGAATCAATCTGACCTGGGACAAGCCCAAGATAGACTAATTTGAATATAGGTAATCTGGAACCCGACTTACTCGCAGGGGTGGGCGGGTGAATCGCCAATCGCCCTTCGTGTCAACAAAGTGAAGTGAATGGGACAAAATGTACTAGAATTTCCCATTGTATATACTCATTTGCATATCATTAATTAATCCCCAGGGATGATATTTACAATTCAAATGGTACGTGAGCATATGCCTGCCTGCGCTTGTAATAGTGATCACCAAGCTACAAGAAGTATGACCTGAAGTAAATTATGTGTTTTTTACTATTGTTAACGCTTGGAATCAACTAACCCATAAAATTATAAGATGGTTAACTGACCTTAACTGTATTTGTACACACTTTGTAAACGTAACAATCGTGTTTATATTGGGAAGTTCAGTAATAATAATCCAGATGGCCAAAACTTTCATCTTTTGGCCATTCTTATTCTGAAGTATCCACCTTATTCTGAGCTATCCAAACAGATACTTTGCTATGAATATACAGTTTACAGATATTTAGTACCTCATCACCCAAAGCATTTACTGGAATAAATATAAATGCTATTGTTCTTGGCACCTTTGTCTAGCTAAGATAAGTACAAGTTGACAGGTGTGCTTGATAACCTTGTCCCCGTCTGAGGGAGTTGTTGTCCTATCAGGGTACTAAAGTTGAGGGTGTTATCCTAAACAGGGTATTGGTTTCAAACCCTCAGCGGCTCACCTATACCCAAGTATTGGTCGAGTACCCCCACCCCTGCCCCCCGGCCTGCTATCCTAGAAGCAAGCTTCGAATTAACTGAGCCATAATTAAACAATAATTGACTGCATTTGTACCCTTTTTGTAAACGCAACAATCGTGTTTATTTTGGGAAGTTCAAAATAATAATCCAGATGGCCAAAACTTTCATCTTTTGGCCATTCTTATTCTGAAGTATCCACCTTTTTCTGAGCTATCCAAACAGATACTTTGCTATGAATAAGCTTTACAATGCAGTCGCGGTACTGTAATTAAACAGACATTGTTTGCTCCTTGCACTAAATTCTTACAAAAAGAACGTGAAAAACAACTAACCTCTATGTAGGCTTTGATCCATATTTTGGAGAAACCATTCGCATCTTGGCCTTTTTCAGTCTTTGTATACTTATTTCTTTGAACACAACAAGGTCGTGAAGAGTCGGAGTGATTTGCCGAAAAATAATTTTATTCAGTTCCAGTCTCCGAGCGGATACCTGATTTTGGAGTATCCATTCTAGTCACGACCTATCAAAAATGTGGACTTGCCAAGACACGCCTGAGACACCCCTCCCTTCCTTTTGATAGTCTCCCCTACCCCACCCGTACAATCTGTAGACGCGTACGTACGTATGTACGTACGTACGTACGTACGTACGCTCGGTCAATCACGTGACAACCAAACGAAAAGAGGTTGACCATATTCCATGAGTATGGGGCTCTGTCCCACGCGCGCTTCGCGCGCGCGGGAGCCCCGCTATCATTAATTAATCCCCAGGGATGATATTTACAATTCAAATGGTACGTGAACAGGAAGCCTAAGCAACCACGACGACGAAAACGTCAACGTCAAAAAAGAAAAAACAGAAACGTTGCCTACATTTGACAAATTGAGGGGATCCAAATAGACGTCGTCTTTTCCGTCGTCTTTGCTTAAGTTCCCCAATCACAAGTAGGACGATGCTGTTGGTTTTCGGCCGAAATTTAGTTCACGATGTAAATCGGTTAAGGTTCAACCTCCATTCTAACTGTAATTGTATTACTGTAACATGTGCCTTAATTGAGCAGCTGCAAATTTTGGGATTTTTCGCGTCCTTGCAATAATTGCACAGTTCACAATTCATCGCGTTTCTCACAGTCAGTGATCTTTACTAGTAGTTATAAGTATTAAAGTAAGTAAGTAAGTGTGTATGTAAGCACTGCTAAGTCAGTCCAGTGGCGGATCCAGGAGAGGGGCCCGGGGGCGCGGCCCTCACCCCCCCCCCTTATTTTTCGACCAAAATGAGGCCCGAAGGGCCGAAAATAATTTTTGGGGTACTGGGCCCTCTTCCCCTTATCTCAGGGTCTGAATGACAGTCCCCCCCTATCTGAAGGTCTGGATCCGCCCCTACAGTCAGTCAGTATAAGTAAGTAATATAGAAGACTTGAACTTAAAGCCAAAATATTCATAGAGAAGAGTTAAGACACTACAAGAGAGGACTCCGCCTTATAAAACGTCAAGTCAACGTGTACGTTTTAAGAAGGTGTTTTTGAAAGGGAGAGATGACTTCAGACAGTCCTAAGTATACGTAACTATGACTTTTGTTTCTTTGCAGTTCAGTATATTGTATACATCTATCGCTTTATAAAAGAATGGCTCAAGAATCCCAAGTGCTCTTTCTCTTGCTGTCTGGCCTTGCTACTGCCTTTGAATGAATTGCAGGGAGAACTACGTGGATTTGCTGGAAGGAATGTTTTTAAGAGCCAACTGCAAAAAGGAAAAATGAATATGCCGTCAATTTCAACCTCTTTCCAAGATACTGGTGCTATTAACTTTAGTTTGGAAGAAGATCAACCCAGCCAGGCAGGTGAAAGGAATTCTGATCATGAGGAAACACCTGGAAGCAAGAGCGACAAACAAACCCAGACTCGAGAAAGCGGGAAAGAATCCATCTTTACCAAAATTTCAGTTCATGAAGTTCCAGAAATGACATACGATACGTCTTTTTAAAGGCGTTCAGTTAATTCCGCCATTTTTCGCACTATTTATGTCAAAGACTAAACGCATAGTTTGGTGAAAGGTTTTCATGTGTTTGGACTGAAAAGGCGGATTCATTGTGACGTCATGTTTACATTTTAGCTCATTAGCATCAATTTAACCCATAGAAGATGAAGGAAGATGTAGCCGTATATACCAATTAGGTTCAAAAATTAAAAGAGCGCAGTAAATTTATAGAGTTTGTGCAAGTTTCAGCTCCTTGCAGTCATGCGATCAGTTAAAAACTGCAAAATTACTTGATAAGCTCATACATTCTTTGTAAATTTTGGGATTTTTTAAAGAGAGTTTCCTTGAAATTATATGGTATATCGGGTCCAATTTATCAGAGATAACTGAAAATGTTATGGTCTTTCAATATTCAGAAATTTCACGTTATTAGCTTCATCCGATGATGATGAGCCTATGCTAATGAGGCAAAAAATGTCAACAAGGATTCACCTATACAGTAGAACCACGGTACCTCGAACTCTGAGAAGGGAGACTAAAAACAGTTAACCTGAGGCCCGGCTCTATTTTCGTTTCTCTTTGTAAATAACATTACGGCAGGTAAGGCGAAACGAATTTTAGCGCGACTACGTAGGAGAGATTGTATAAGAACTGTTCAAATCGGGCCTGATCTCCCGAGGTTAAAAACAGTTCGAGCGGGCGTTCGAGTTATCGGGGTCGATTGTATCTTCAATTCCCATGGTAATAGTGATAGTTTATTGATATTTCAGCACTTTTAATAGTATATAGCAGAGGGCACATTTAACTTATCTCATCAGAAATTTTAACACGATTATGCGTTTTCATGATGAATACCGGGAAACGACTGTCAAATACATGACGTGTTCGTTGCCCATCTTAAGAAGCAGTAAAAAACAAATCGCTGTAGTGTTAGTTTCAGGGGTTGTTCCTCAGTTTCCAAGACAAGGAAAAGCTAATAGGATGGCATTCATGGTGAGTTCTGTGAACCAGAATTCGAGTTAACGAAGGAAATTCGGATCAAGCGAAACGAAATTTAGTTCCGGAGTTAGAGGGGAATTCGAGTTATCCGAGTAAACGTGGCTGAAAAGTAGGATCAAATCCTAGGGAAATGGGACTTAGTTCGAGTCATCCAATTTCGAGTTAAACCGGGGTCCTAATGTAGATTCAAATCAATGTAAGCCGCTTTGCTCGTGTTTTTGTCATGTTTTAGATGGCTTTGAGGCTATCGTCAATTCCATCAACTATTTATCAGGAGTTATATTCTTTACCCCAGTTATTATAAGTACTAAGCTGCTAATTTATCGGCCATATTTACTCAAGTTAAAATTTGAAGGGTTTAAAAAACAAAATACAAAAAAATACAAAAATTTACAAATGAAAACCACAAAAAAATACAAACATATTTACTCATAAAACCATTAGCTACTTCAAGGCAATAGTCAAAGCAAACCGAGCTTATCAATTTTAAAACAATAGATTGAATATGAGCAATATACGTGACACCGTGAAGTCCAAGGGGACGATTAAGCTCACACGTTCGGAGGCCTTTTGCTGTCGCCTTTTCATCGTAGCTCAACTTACATTTAATTCAGTATTTATCTTTTATTTCGGCTTTGCTTGTTTAAAATAATATTCCGCTCGCTGTATTTATTATTGAGGAAAGTACTGACAAGAGAGAAAGAAAGTTATTCCTAGAAACCAGATTCTGCGGTTAAAAACATCGTACCTTTTATTGCGTAATTAGCTATGAATTACCGCAAAACAAACGAACATAAACGATTAAACTTTCTTGTCGGTTCTCCTCTCACATATCATATTTTAGCCATATATATATATATATATCCTTGGTGTTGGAATATCCTATATAATCCACATATATAACCTCCTTAGTCGTACTTTTCAGGTCGGTTAAGAAATGTATTTACATGACACCATTACTCTTTGTCAAGATCACATACGTGCCTCTAATTGTGAGGAAGCAGATGACATGCTTTTGTCCACTTCCCGCTGCGCCAATTGCAGCCAAAAAAGATCGGAATTCCTAGACATAGAGTTTTGCACTGACCTTTTATTCTATTTTGGTGTTTGGGTTTCAAGTTATTTTAAAAACAGTAGTTGGACGGTTTGGTTTGATATTTGCTCAAATTTAGCTTGTAAGCTGACCTTGATAGTTAAGTTTTAATTAACTTTAAGACACACCTCTTCAAGCTTATTTCACAAACACAAAAACAAGGTCGTTAGATAGAAATAATTACTTTGCTTAGTAGGTGTTTTTAGCTGTGGAAAGGAAAATATTAAGCAATTTTCGAAACGAAGTCCGTTTGCTTAAAACTGAAATTAGTTCTCTCTTTTGCTTCCAAACTGGAATAATAATCAGCCTTACATACCTCATTAAATGTAGCTTAGTGCCACGTGACCCAACACCTTTTGAGTTCTTTGTTCTCAGTTGGGCCATTTTCAGCTAAATTTTACTTACTTTCCTAATTTCAAACTAGACGTTCTTTCGACAGAATCGTAGGAAAATTAGGTTTCTTTCAAACCATTGTTTTAGTTTCTTGTATAGGAATTTGGATATAGAGATATCTCCAATTTTGCCCATTTTTTTCCACGCGCAGCTGAATTCAACTAAATTTTGGTTTCTTTTGTTCTATCAGATCTAGCACCTCCTAAAGGCCGATTTAGACGGTACGATTTTTGCTTACGAATATCGTGCGCGACTAGTATACTCATCACTTATGACATCCACATGTGTCGTACGAATGTTGTGTGCATGAACACAACACGATGTGTCGTGAAGTCATGACGTATGCTAGTCGCGCACGATAGTCTTAAGCAAAAATCGTGCCGTGTAAAGCGGCCTTGCTTTAACACCTACTTTCTGCATATGAATACTACGTAGCCTTGCTAAAAACCGATTAACTTTATTGTTCAGATCAGTATAAATATAACCGCTTTGTAAGCTAAACTTGATTCACTTAAGGATCTCATCTGAAGACTCAACTAGTAGAGTTCTACGAGCTGTAAAGAAGCAATAAATAAACCGCGTTCAACTCAACTTCTTGTGTTCCTTAACATCTCTCAAAATCTGTAAGATTCCACCCTTTAGGTCCCGAAAGTGATCAACATCAAGTTTCTTCTAACAATATCAAAACAAAATGGAAAGATGCGTTGATCTTGTATCAAATTATCACAACTTATTTTTTAAGGAAATGTATTGAGATCAGTACAAATAAATTGAATGTGGATATTGGGGCTTTAAGGGTTATATGTGTTATTAACTAAAGGGGAGCAAGGAAATTCTAACAGGGCAGACGGCAAATTGTTGTTACTTGAAATATCTATAAGTCGTAACTGTTCTTCAGTAAAATGCCAAAACGTGTGCAATTCCACAATTGGTTTCGTCTTCATTAAGGTGGCTCCGTAATTAATACAAGAGCATTTAGCTGTGACAAATTTTCCGTCGTAACTTTTTCGATTTTAACGCGATGGCTGCGAAACTTTACAAAAAACAACAGATATCATTCCGCAATAAAACGAAATATTCCGATTTCATTGATGGTAAATATTTCTTGAGAAATTAGCGCTTAAAAGGACCCTACAGTTTTAGAAGCACTATAAATCGCTCCAAACTTTGCTTTGACGTCGAATGACTTGTTCCTCGACATTTTTAAAATATCCCTTGGCAGTTTTGCTTCAAACTCCTACTACATACATTTTGATGTATTGCAATGCATCCTCAACGGCTTTTCCTGCTGTACGTTGTTTCCAATTCAGGAAAAAGGTATTGGGATTGTAAGCTACCTTGAATCGAAGCTCAGATAGAACTGTCCAGCACCTTTGTTTATGACCAGAAAATAAGCACGAGCGGCAGCTCTGCGAGGAATTCGCACCTCAGCCAGGGGGGACGAATGACAATGATGCTCATGTCTGTGAACCGATCTGTATAAACATGTATTGCAGAGCAAAACATAATAATCAAGAAAAAAAATACCCATTCATTGAAGGAAGGAGTGACAAAAATTTCAGAGTTGCAAATTTATTCACGGGCAGTATTTTTGCGATAATTTTATTTTGCACTGTGATGTTATTCGGTTCACAGGCATGGTCATCATTGTCGTTCGTCCCCTGGGTGAGGTGCGAATTCGCAGAACTGCCGCTCGTGCTCATTTTGTGGTCATAAACAAACGTGCTGGAGAGTTCTATCTGACCTCTGATACGAGGTAGCGTCCAACCTCAATACATTTTTCCTGAGTTGGAAGCAACGAACAGCAGTAAAAGTCGTTGAAATTGCATTGCAATACATGAAAATGTATGCAGCAGGAGTTTGAGCCAAAACTGCCAAGGGATATTTTAAAACTGTCGAAGAACAAGTTATTCTACTTCAGAGCAAGGTTTGGAGCAATTTATAGTGCTTCTAAAACTAAAAAGTACTTTTTAAAGAATAGCACGATAGGCAATCGGCTTTTGTTTTAAGAATTAGTAAACGTTGAATTTACTTGTCCCGAAAATTCAAACTGGTGGCTCCTTCTCCCTGATAGTAATTTATTTTTGAAATTCCAAAACAATTTCACAGCTGAATTTTGAGCCACTTTTAGTCACGGACTTCTGCTCCAACGATTTTGGTGAAATTCCTCTGGCATATTTATTATATCAATGAAAGCCGATACCAGAAATTTCAGTAAAAAATATCAGCAAAATTTTTTACTAGACGCGATTTTCTTTGAACAGTAGGGTCCTTTTAAGCGCTAATTTCTCAAGAAATATTTACCATCAATGAAATCGGAATATTTCGTATTATTGCCGAATGATATCTGTTGTTTTTTGTAAAGTTTCGCAGTCATCGCGTTAAAAACCAAGAAGTTATGACGGAAAATTTGTCACAGCAAAATTCTCTAGTATTAATTACGGAGCCACCTTAACTCCTGCATACCAATCATTGTAGAACATTTTACGAGGAGCCACCCACAATTTCAGTACAATTACCGACAATGTGTATGAGTAGGAAAACAACCCAAAGCAAATGTAATGCGTTCAATAACGAACTAAATGCATAAGTCAATTAAATAAGTAAAGGTGCGTAAAAACGGGCAACAAAAAACGCGCAACTTGTCTTGCAACATTGCTGTACAACAAGTTGAATAGCGATATCGCGCGTTTTGCAACCCACATCAAACCTGTCTTGCAACAAATTAGGCTGTTAACAGGTTGAACGTGGGTGGTAAACTGAGCACATCGCAACATCGCTTTTTAACTTCAGTTGTTTTGCTTGTTTTAACTTGTGAGCGCGCGCTCATTAAGATTGCGCGCCCACACAACCGACACTTCCTGAAAAGATACTAAGACGATTGAATTAACAAAGGATGCAAAATCCTTAACATATGGAAAAGTGAGGGGTAGTAGGAGGGCAGAGCGTTTATTAGGGATAGACTGCTTATTTGCAAGATTTACCGACGGGGGTGGGCGCCAATTTGGAGAAAGGAGCGTGTTTTAGCTCAATGGGCGTGGCCGTGGGGTGCCTTAACAAGAGTCGACCAAACAGACCTGGCTCGTCCCCAGTCGTCTCTTATTATTTGTAAGGGACCAAGGAACGGTTGCGGGAGACTATTACGGCATCCGGTGCGAAGAGGACCATGGCATAGTTGCTTCCCTTGACCGCGCTTCTCTCGTTAATATTAGGGAGCTCAAGCGACAACGACGGAACAAAAGAAAGTGTTTACATAGGAAAAGAGTTCAACTCCCACAGGATTTGTTTGGAACTCCAACATGGCCACCATTTCATTGTATGGCCGCCGTGACGTCGTGTGAAAACGCTCCTTGGAGACTGAGGGGCAACTGGGGTCAAGTCAACAAACAGACGGTCAAGAGGGTCACCAATATGATACAATTTAACACCTTAATTTATTTATTTATGGCAATATTTAGCTTAGAGTTAAGTAAGCAAAATGTTAACTTACTTGTTAAGCGGGCTGCATGTGGCAGCCTGCGTTAAAGTTTAGGCCAAACGCCGTTTTTATTGTTTGTCCAGATGGCACTATTAAACCAAGCTGGGTGCATATTAAATTTAATGCATGTTTTGATACTGTACTTGTTACGAAAGAGTGAATCACTTTGTATAACTGTCAAAATACTAAATAAGGCATAGATGTAGAAATAAACTCGGCTTATCTTAAACTGGATTTTTTTTATTGCTTTATCTGTGCAACCTTAGCTCACTTCATGGCCATTTTCTATAATTTTGCGGCTCATTGGTTGTTCGTCGAAATCCATTTTGTAATTACCGAAAAATAAAATCTTAGTATACAAGAGAGATTAATTTTTTTAAATCTAAAATGACTGGTCCGTTTTTACAGAGATTCGCTCTTAAAAAAATGACGTTTTGGCTGCCATAGTCGTTTAACTCCGGCCAGATTACAAAAAATCAGCGGTGATTGCACCGTTTTTGCACTGGATGGGGACAGACGCCAATTCCCTTGAGACACAAAAAAACAGTTAACTTTGAGTTATCTTAAAGGGAAGTTATGTATTGTCCATACTATGAAGAGAAAAAAAATTAAATCTTTCTGTTAAGGGTTTATCAAGACGTTCACAACGCGAAAAACAGTAATAAAATTGAATGTGTATGAATGAAGACAGAAACAGTATTCCGCTTTTTCGAACGAAATTTCTGATTCAACAAAAAAATTACGGAATCACTTGCCTTGGCAAGTGAGAGAACTTAAGAACAAAGATATTTCTTTTCTAAAAAGTGGGTATTTATTTGTTGCTCATGGATTAGCTGAACTCCAGATAAGTTACATCAGCTTTACAATTTCATCTCAGCCCCTCTCTCCCACGGACGAAAAAAGAAAAGGATTTAATTCACATCGAATATTCAAACCAACAGCAATAAAATATTTTATAACTGTACAAATGACCGATTATTTGGATAATTTTGACCTGGTTGACAGGACTTGCTAACAATGTTCGGTTCTACGGTAATCAAGCTCACGTGTCATGCAGCACGTTTTTTAACAGGAACTATAACTAGAACCAGTCAAGCAAGTGTTTCGGTTTTCCTAGGACAGCATTAAAATTAGTCCAAACAAATCACATCAGGATCTTTGTCCTTAGTGGTATCCCCAGTTTTCACAGTATGCGACTGGCTGGGTTCCTCCTGAGGGGCCTGGGAAGTAGTTTGACCTTGTCCTGGCGAAGCTGCTGGCGTTTCCGATGGAGAACTGGGGCCAGATGAGGTATCTGGCTTAATAAGACCCATTGCTGAAGCCTTGCTACGTATTATGGAAGTGATCTGATTTTCCACCAGAGCTGTGGCAGACTTGCTCAGCATTTTACCAATTCCACCTTGGATAACGGGGGGTGTACCGCTGCGGGGAGACTCGGTTCCGGTTTGGCCAGTGCTCAAACTGTAAACGCTATTGATGACCGGAGTAAGAACGGCTCAAGAGCTGGCAGGAGCCGACACTGTTTGTGGTACAGCGGATGCCGCAGTCACAGCGGGCTTGGCCTGACTTGATGTGGCAGTGGAGGCCGAAAGCAATAGAGTAGTTGGTGGAGGCGGCTGGACTGTGATGGTTGCATTGCTGCCTGTCACGGGTGGAGCGCGGTACACAGAGCTTGTAGTGTAGTGCAGGGGCCCTGCTCTGATTTGTACAGGGGGCATGATAGTGCCACCGCCCAACACTAAGGGCTGGACCTTTGGCTGGATAGTAACTGAACCCATTCCTGGAACGGGAGGGGGCTGGATGGTGTTTCCAGGTATGGTGACATTGGGTGGTGGTCCCTCATCACGTTTCGTTAGACGGCTGAGAATTCCTCTCTCCGACATGTTAAGCCGAGCAGTGACGGGAGGCATTCGAACTAGTGTCGAAGGAAGACGGTTGACGTCCGACTTCATGTCTGATAGCAACTCCTCCAGCTGATTAAGTACTGCAGACATAAACAAGAACGATAAATGTCCGTCTGTTACATCCTAGAAGTTAAGAAGATGGCAAGTCCTATCCACTGGATAAATCACTATCCAGAGGATATCACAATCGTTTTCACTAACAAGTACCTACTGCCTGGTTAGTAATGGTAACAGGGCTGAGTGGAGTCCACTTCGGTCTGTAATCATACGAGTGATTAACAAACTCGGACGACCACGTAGCGGGAATCCGATTTGTTTAATCACGAGTATGATTACAGACCGAATTGGACGACACGAAGTTCTGTTACCAATTAATCATAACTTTAACAAAATTAGTGATGTAATAGGCTATTTTTTAAATCAAAACACAAGAAATTCGAAGTTTTGTTTCGCTAGCAGTGAAAAAAAAAAGCCACTTAAGCGCGCGCGTGATGGCGCGTACTGTCCAATTACTTAGGCATGACGCGTACTGTCCTATTAAACTGTCCAATTAAGGCTGAAATCAGGGCAGTTGATAGCCGATCAGATTTAACAATTTTGTCATAGTTATGATTAGCGATTTATCCTGTCGATAGCACTATAGGTCCATATACAGCTTTTGAACAATTGAGGACTGGTGATATAGTGATTTTTTGTCTTTTAATTAATCATACAACAGGGTCACTATGTTGAATGAAGTGTTTATCACCACGAGCGAAAGGCAGTTAAAATTCATTTTCACAAGAAAGGTTTAAAACCAGGCCTAACATTTTTTTAATTCTCGCACAAAACGTCCAAAAGAGGGGAGCGATGAAGGGCGACAATATTCACAGGCTTATAGTCTGAACGACGCTACTTTAATTGTGATGAATAGGTACAAACGCTTTAACGTGTGTAGCAAGAACTACCTCTAATGGTTCCCATTTTTCCACCCTCCCCTTACAGACAGCCAACTCACAGGCTATTGAAGCGATAAGCTACTACACGTTCTGTGTGGAAGATTACCTTTATGAAGTACAGCATTGGCAGGTTTGTTTCCTGCTAACGACTCCTTGGACAAATGCTGGTGACTTTCTGCTAAGCACTCCAGTTCCGCAAATCTACCGAACAAAGGCAAAAAATGACTGCACCTTGTATCTCAGTTCTCGAAAAAGGTGCTAAAACACCGTTCCTGCAGATTGGTTTGATTCTTACCTTGCATTTAAAGCCATGGCAGGGTGGTTGGCATCTTGCCTGAGTTTCATGGTATCGGCTCGTCTCAGCTGTTCTTCTATTACAAGCGCTTGTTCTAACAACTTAAACAAAAAAGCACATAATTCCCAAGGGTGCCATTCACGGAGATCAATTGCGAGATGCTCAAACCAACACAAGGCGTGAACTATGCCAACACAAGAAAAGCACACTAGTGCGCTACAATAACGTCAATAAACTTGCTGTTGACTGTCACTTAGTGTACGCACTGTCTCCTTCTGTCGAACCAGTCTAAGAGCTTAATTCAGGTTTCTAATTCCTTAACTGAATTTCTAGTTTCAATTATGACCACACCAGTGCTTGAATTAGCATAAAAGAGATGTACAGGGGGAAACAAGGAAGCAATGCCACCGAGGGCTAAATTTGATGGTTTAAAACTCAGACTTAAGACTGAGGATTTGGGGATATCGCTGACTCAAGAAAGGTTGCTTTGGGCATTAGGCATTAGGAAGCTATTGTTTGGCGGTACCTCAAGCAAATCATTGCAGCGAGTTCCGTATGCCCCAGTGATCAATACTTTTAAATTGCCTATGACCAATTGCCAAAGCAATCTTTGTTAATAAGGTACAGATTTTAATATTACACAGTCACTGGTCATTTATCCCTGAAACCCACAGAAATTTACGATGAAAACCTATTTGATGTCTACACACAAGATTGGGAACAATATCAGCAGAACAAACCTTAAAGCGTCGCGCAATAAAGCGGTTCTTGTACTCCAGAGAGACTGCAATAGAAACAAACTAAGGTATAACATAAGCAAAAGAAGTCTGGACTGGGTTGATAAGTACTTGTTTTAGTGGTAATGTTAGCGTGGTCTGAGTTGAAACTGGTTAACGTGCGCCGTACTTATTCTAACGTCTCTTCACTGACTGTTCCTTACCTTAGACTTCTCAACGTACGACGCTCGCGCACCGCCTCGCGCCTTCGGCAATCACGAAGTCGACTTGTTTCTTAACTTACGTTGCTCGTCTCGCGACTTCGCCGCTCTCGTTCGCTTGCTTCGCTCGCGCCTTCGGCACTCACGCAGTCGACTTGCTGCAAGTCAATTCCTTAACTATTACCAGTACACCTATGTCACTAAGATTTCAAGTTGCCGGATAAATACAATAAGTAGTAGGCAAGGAATCAAACAGCTAGGGATTTCTTTTGGCTCTATTTTTCTTCTATTTTCCTATGCGACTAGCCGGGGGCCACGTTCATAACAGCCGGGGGGAGTCCCCGCCTCCCGGCTCTTAATGACAGCCTTACCACTTAAAATTAAAGGCACGCGAGTTTTGATAACTCTTGGCTGCTAATTTCATTACAGATGCTGTTCCAACAACTTACCATTTTTGAACGGATCATTGACCACCCCAAACTTGCGATCATTAGCGATATCCTGCCATCTGCCATAACCGTGACAGAAAGACGGATAATGTCAAGGAGAAACAAAATACCCTACTCTCACAAAGTTTCGCAATCTCACAAAAGTAGAGAAATTTTATACAATATTCTATTATAAAACAATTTTAAGTCACCGTTCGGATGGTTGTAGTTTTAGATAAAATGACTTTGTCTCCGCTGGATTTTTTTCAGCATTTTTTTGTTTTCCGCACTACTCTATAAACTGCACGTTCTACTCAAAAGCCAACGTTCGATATATCAGAATTCTAATATGACCAAGAGGCTTTCCGAAAAAAACTGCAAAATGTTTACGATGTTAGTCTGGTAATTCCCAAAGGAGACCTGACCACAAAGAAAACCAAACCAGAAAGCATTGGAGTTGATATATCGAACGTAGGCTATTGTCAGCTGAGGAACAAGGCTGGCGAACGTGCAGTGGTGAGAGCACCCGAGTGCCACTAATGTGGCCCAGGTTTGAATCGTGGCGTCAACGTCATATGTGGGTTGAGTTCGTTGTTGGTTCTCTCGCTTGTTCCGAGAGGTTTTTCTCCGGGTGCTCCGGTTTTCTCCTCTCCTTAAAAACCAACACTTCCAAGTTCTAATTCGATTTGGAACGCACGGACACGCTTTAACGAGTTCTTAGGAACTTTTAAGTGCTTCGAGGGTAGGCAAACAACCAATTACAAAACAAATAAGTCCAAACAGCACATACCCTTCAATCAGACGCCAGTTGTTCAAAAGATGGATAGTACTATCCACTGGATAAATCTCTATCCACTGGTTGACACAGTTGGCTCCCCTAATACTTTTCCGCTAAAAATTGATTCATCCGGTGGATAGCGCTATCCAACGTTTGAACAACTGGGGCCAGGCTATTTCGGGTCCAGGGTTAGGCGAGGGAAAGAGCTGAAATTTTTTTAAAATCCTGACCGTTCACACACTGCAGGATACTTTAAAAACCGCAGAATGAAAATTTCTAAGACGCGTCTGAGAGAACGTTCTCTTCTATCCCCCCACCACAGAGATCCATAAGTAGAGAGGTTAAACGCATCGCGTTTACGCCAAACGGCAAACGCGAATTTGTACCACGTGACCAAGTTTCCGCTTTACTTGTCGTTTACTGTTAATTATTTCTACACATAAATTAGTGTTTCACGCAATTTTTCATCCATAAGTATTAACTTGAGCACTTTTTATCTACTCATTTTCTATTTTGAGAAATCCTCAACTTGAATCTGACGTTTGCCGTTTGCTGTATACGTAAAGCTTAAACTCTCTAGTAAAACACCTCGAACGGCAAGTAGCGGACAAACGTTTTGATGTCATTGATCAAATGCCATGTAGTTAGACTCAACAAATATTTTAAATCTGGATACCCAATACATAACTTAGACCACAAAATGGGATGGGAATGAATAAAAGGAATAATACAGTAACTACTTCAATAACTGTGTTCAGGATACATAACAACTCCGGCCAGAAGCCAGTAATCATGACATCTCCACCAGATATCATCGCACTTCCTTTTCTCCTCCACTTCCCACAGAGTATGCAGCTCAGTAAATCCACCATCGGCAATGTTAAACATGAACCGCTGCTGTTCATTAGCTGCACTGGCAGGCTTACTCAGTCCAGCCGATCTCTTAGTAGATTTCTCCTGTTTAGGGACTGCTACCGGATCAGTTTTAATAGGGGCCTGCTCTGTTTTCGCAGGCGATTCGGTCTTTTCTGGTGTATTGTCAGTTGCCTTTTTATCTGATTCTACAGCATCTCCAGCCGGTTTGCCCTCCTTTTGATCAGAGTCTATTTTCTCTGAAGGTTTATCATTAGTTTTATCGGTTTCTAACTCTTCTTCTTTTTTCTCGCTCTCTCCGCTTTTCTCTTCTGGTGCTTTATCTGTTTGATCAGAATCCCTCTTACCGTCAGCCTCATCAGAAGAATTTTCAACTTTCTCAACTTCCTTTTTTCCTTCATTTTCCTTTTTATCAATCACGTCACCTTGCTCTACACTTTCACTCTCACCACTCTCTGTTTCCTTAGTCGTTTCCTTTTCCTCTTTTTCTTCACCTTTTCCTGAATTATCATTTTTCTTATGAGCTGTGTCAACAGTTTTATCATCGTCTTTCTCCTCCGCTTCAAACACTGGCTTCTTTTGTTCGCCATCCTTGCCATCTTCAGAAGACTTTTCTCCAGTTTCTTGAACATCCATTGGCTCTGTTTCGACAGATTTATTATCGTTATTTTCTTTGCCTTCACTGTCTTTCTCAGGATCCTCTTTTTCACTGGGAACATCAACATCCATTTTGGTGCCTGTATCAGTCTTTGGACCTGCTAATAGTAAGCAAAAAGTTAAAACAAAATACGGGGTTTCTTGATGTTGTGGATGGGTCTCTCTCTACGCGGCTGAGGCGCTCATGGCGGTTCCCAGTGGTGCCAACAGACGACCGTTGCGGTCCTGTGCCAAAGTAAGAATTTCGTGAGGAAGGGGGAGATTTTCAGGATTGATTAGTTTTGCAGCATATTCGTGGAATAGAATTTTACGTCCACAAGTCGTCTTTGGATGGGTGCAATCACCGAATGACGTTGGATCATTATACGTTTCTGGGAAACTGCCCATCTACCTCTCCCCTAAGCCAACATTAACACTTACTTCTCACTTAGAGCAAAATGTTGGCTTAGGGGAGGGGTAGGTGGGCTACGTATAATGATCCACGACGTGATACTTGTCAATTATTTACCATTTCATATCCAACAAGCCGCGCGAGTGGAATAATTGATTTATTACAAACGCCCACAAAATATCGAGAGTTCTTCTCGACATTGTTTGTAAAAAACAACCGATTCTCAGCTTGTTTTTAATTTTGAGCAGACGCGTACAGTTACCATATATGGAGAGCACGGTATAATGGCTCATATACCATGATGGCTAAGCTAATCAGAGCTCTAGTATTGCATTATCCAATGATTCAGTTTTTAATAAAAAAGCCTACAAAATAGCTTACATCATAAACACTAACTCCTAAAATACACATAACCAATGTCCTTCGTTCTTGGCGCGCGCCCCTGCGAGACTACAATAATACCCGCAATTCTTGCTCTTACAATGCACTTTTTCCAAAGGAATTTTTTTACGGTTATTATTTAAATATTTGGGGTTTTCTTTAACTCCAGTAAAAGCGTTTTGTTAAGCGCAAACTGATCGCACGGGTAGCAAATTTCCTAAAGCGTCTAAACCAAACCAGTCATTCCTCCAGGCTTTACAAATGGACAAAAAGCGACCAGATATTGGATAGCGCTATTGGCTCGCCCAGTTTACGTAGGGTGGAGATAACACCATTCCCTGCAATCGACAAACGCAATCGACCCTTTTAACAATCAAATCAGTAGGGTCACTAATCTGGAGGGCAAAGTTAAGCACTTGGGTCTGGATTTAAAAAGACCTTATGAGTTAAGATTTGTATTAACACTAGTTCCTGAACAATGATCAACAAGTCCTTTGTAGCTGGTCAGTCACGTGGTACAAAACGGACGCACTGGGACCATTGTCAATTTTTGTCTTATCCCAGTGCATCTGGCCTTGATCTACAGCATGGCGGTTTTGTACCATTTGAATGACCTGCTGCAAAGGGCTTATAGCTATGAAAATATCTTAACTGATGGCTTCGAGAATCAAATCCGGCCTGATAGTAGAAAAGCAGTGAGGAAGATTCTTCTAACGTGCTTATAAGGGACAATGGAGAGCTTCAACAAAGGCGTTTTTGAGCGATGTACATCAACCGGAAGAGAGTTCTTTTTCATTTTAAATCGGCTTGACACTGCGAAATTTGTATTTCTAAGTGTCTTTACTATCACCGAGACTATTTGTCCAAAAAGTTGGGCAAAACCATTGTCCAAAATTGAAAAAAAATGACCACTTCCGGTTGACGTGCGTCGCTCAAAAACATGTCTGAACTCCCTAATAACTTCTCCTCACTCGCCTTTGATGCTGTCATCCTCTTTGTGTTCATCGGTCACTTCCTTCTTGTTTTCTTCACTGTCTGCAGCAGGTTTAGCTTCTTCACCTTTTTCCTGTTTAGCACTATCATTATCTTCCTCATTAGCGTTCTCTTTAGCTGCAAACGAGACACGAGGGGTTCTATAACATTACACGTTCTCATACCATTAACCCATTCATTAAAATATTTTGCATAACCGATTAGCCAACGAGTGGATGTAGTGTATTGGCGTTGATAGTGTAGTTTTTACTTTAGAACCCCCACCCCCCTGGAATTTTCATTCCAGGGGGGTGCTTGTCATACCCCCACCCCAGGAACTTCCGTAATTTTCCTACTTGGTTGGGTACCCCATGGAAAGGATATTTCCGACAAAACAGCTGTTGCACCATACTATTTTGCGAACGATAATCGTTTCTTCAGTGAAGAGAGAAAAATCCGTTTTTAATGTTAATACAGTGTCTAATAATCTTAGGTCTTTCTCAGTTAAAAATTAACGGTAAATCACTGAGAAACATGGACGTGATACGTTACTCGACACAAATGATGCCAGCTGTAAAAGAACCAGTTACATTCACACTAAACACCGAATGAACCTCAATTACTTCCTTTCAGTTAAAAACATGTCAGAAGTTTTACAACATGATCACATTACAGTAAATACCACAATATATTGTGTTATAGAGCAACTGCTATTCATGAGCAGATGACAATTGGATGGCTGGGAACAAAGATTTACTTTCCGTTTGAAACAAGAAAGCTAGCTTTAGACGCCGGCAAACCCCTTGTTTGGTATATTTCCTTCAGTTAAACGGCTATTTACTTTAAAGGTAGTTTGCATGCACAGAGCTTAACTTGACTCTGTGGAATACAAAAGTATCACTAGCGAGATAACAACTGCGTACATCTCAGAGGTGCTATTCCATGTTAAGGGGCGCTGAGTTATTAGTTCTAAACCTTTCTCCTATTACGCGCTAGTGAGCACACACAATGACACGACGTTGAGACTTGGATGGACAAATCATTTAGTTTTGTTATCCCCAGCATCGCGTTGGTGCCACTGTTCACTGGAATGCAGGTACAGTGCATCAAATAGTCCCCCGGGGGGTACTTCGCCCTGTGGTCCCACCCCTTCACCTTTTTTAATATACCAGTTTTGAGAGAAAAGCTAACCCTTTCTTATACCTTCTACTGATCTACTGACAAACGGTACCGCTTTCAAAGAGCTAGTAAGAACACTGCATCGCTTTTACGAACTGTAAATTCACCGTCTTTTTAATACGAATAAATCACGAAACCAGGAATTTTTCTTGTCCCTTTCACAGCCCAAGATACGTCTGTTAGCCCTTTCAACTTCTTTGACAGACCCACATGACAAGTTTCTCTACCCTTTCATTTACAGTAGAACCCCAGCAACTCGAACTCGAAAGGGAAACGAAAAACAGTTCGAGATCACGGGGTCGATTGCAAAATTTACTTTGCCATATGAAAAATTGATATTTACTGATTTTTCAGCACTTTAGTGTCTAGTGCAGTGCAAATTTAACTTATTTCATCGAAACGGTAACATAATTAGCCATTTTTTATGATAAAATGTGATCTTGTTGCACTAATTAATAAATTGATATTTTGTTGATCAGTGTTAGTTTTAGTGTTTTTACCGATTATAAAAAAGGAAAAGCTGATGGGATGGCATCCGAGTGGCGTTACAACAACCAGAATTCGAGTTCTCGAGGTAAATTTCAGTTAATTTTTGATCAAGGGAAATGAAATTTAGTTCGAGTTAGCGGGGGATTTTAGTTAACAGAATAAAAATGACTGAAAAGTGGGGTGAAATCCAAGGGAAATTGGACTTAGTTCGAGTTGGCGGGGAGTTCAGGTTATCCGAGGTCGAGTTATAGGGGTTCTGCTATACCTGAAACCAGAAAAAGAAACCCCTTTCGGGTGGAGTCTTCCCATATGGGCCATAATAGTGAGTACCCCCCAGGGTCCGAAATTGCGCCTTCCTGGTCGCAAATGCGACTAAAAATTTAGTCCTGGCGACCAGAATTTCATAGCTGGTCGCCAGCTAGCGACTTGTAAAGCTGGTTGTTATTGTGGACTTTAACGTTCGGAGAAATTGATCAAGAATTGAAACCTCGCAGCTATTTGCCAACAGGTGTCTTACTTTTTGTCCTGCTGATATTTCTTAATTAAAAGTGAAACGATCAATACGAGTTGAACGTTTCCAAGCCGCCATGTTGTTCGGTAAGTACGTTATGTACTTTGTGTACTGGTACGAGTGATCAGTGCAGTCATGGGCAGACAGCTTTATATCTCCAAAAAGTAATTTGCGGGAAAAAAAAAAGACTTCTCTCGTACACGTACGTTTGCTTTCTGATATCGGGAGCGGAAGAAGTGCAATTTTCGAGCATAAAAACGTCCATACCATGCATTTTTTATTCGCGTTTAAACTATTATTGGAAAAAAAGGGAGGGGGAATTTTTTGGCGACCACAATTTGCCCTCTGGCGACCAAAAATTTATACTTGATCGCCAGTTGGCGCCCGTATTAACAAGTTAATTTCGGACCCTGGCCCCCCTGCGGGAAAATAGTCTGTCAGTCAACTGATCCATACCTCCTTCGTCTTTGTCAGTTTCCATTGGTTCAGATTTCTGTTGCTCCTCTTCCTTCTTCTCAGGTGTTGCCTCCTTTTCTTCCTTTTTAACTGGCTCCTGTTCAACCTTTTTGCTGTCAACAATCTCTGTTACTGGTGTGGAGACACGTGAGGAGGTTTTACTTGAAGGTTTTTCTGTTGAAGGTTCTTCATCAGGACAAGCTTCCCATCCATTTATATGAGCAAACTCTTCAACCTGAACAAAAGGCCAATAACCACAACAATCATCGTTACTAGCTAGTCCTTTTAGGCCCCTCACACATACCCATTAGCCTATTCCTAGAAAGTGCCCGCGCCCCCCCTCTCCCTCCCACCACCCACCTCGGAGTTTAGTCTTTGGTTTCGCCGCGTCATAACGTTTGAAAGAACCCTGTTTAGTAAAATGAACAGTGCCAAAAGAAAATACTTCTTGCCGGCTTTCACACCACCTTTAGAATTAACTCCAGAAGCTTAACCCTTTAAGCCCTAAGAGTAATTAGCATCAAATTTCTCCTTGTAATATCACTGCTTTTTTAAAGAGAGTGGTCATGAGAATTACGGACATGATCACACATGATCAGAGTGGTCATGAGAATTACGAACATGATCACACAAGATGAATTTGCTTGATATTTTATCAACTTCTCCCCACTGCTTCTGTAGGAAATGAATAGGGGCAACAAATGAGAATTCAAATTTTGATCTTAGGGTTCAAAGCGTTAATACTACCACATTTAGTCTTGGTTTTCAAGATTTCTTATAGTAAACCCACCCACCTTCTTTCTTATGAGGCTCATGATACCAATCCGGGTCAGCACTTGAGTTCTTTGAAGTCCTTCACGAGGTACTCCATCATTAAACATTTCCTTGTTGTCTGTTCCAGGCTCACACAAGTGGCGCAGAAACATAGCTACATATGCTCTGAAGGTCAAAAGCAATTTACATCTCGTTACCTTGAAATGTTTTTTCACAACATCAAACTTTTCCAACCTCATCAAAAATACTCCACAAGGTGTCGCTATTTTCAACTCTGTTGACCGTAATGTATTTGATATGTGATGAAACATAACCAGCATGGAGGCAGATGTTCTAGCAACAAGTAGTCATATAATGTGTTTTAACATCACGGAGGAAACAAAGGAAATGCGGAAAAGCACAGAGTGATGCAGGTGGGTGACAGATATCACCATGGTTTCCTCTCAAGGAAAAAGATAATCTTCCGAGAGCCTTCCTAAACGCAACTTCAGCTAATCAATTCCAATACAGCAAAGTGCTTCTTAGGAAACCAACAGGGTATGGACCGAAACCTCGCTCAAATGATAAGTTGGTTGAATTATGTGGAAATTTCCAAAAACAATTTTTACGTTCAAACTAAAACTTAGCTGTATTCATGATGAGGAAAATATTTTACACGTAAAGTTACCATATATCAATTACTTACTGGAAGGCTTTCTCGGATTTCCCCCGGAGGTCTCTTGCGAACCTAGAACGGAATAGTGTAACCGGGAAGTCAGAGGGAAATGAATTCTCTCAAAGTTTTCAAGCTCAAATCTATTAAACAAATTTCAATGTTAATACCATTGCGGACTACTAGGGGAGCTCGCAGTCGGGCCTGTCCTTATCACCAGGTTGCTATTACGTATGCCCAACACGTATGTAGCCAGCAATCGTTTGGACTTCCACTGAGAATAAATGGCCCATTTGAATGCATAGAACGCAAAGCTTACAGCGTTGGAGCAAGAATGCTTTGACTTTTGACCTCGCACGCACTTCCTAACCTTTCGTTATAATTACTACGTATGCTGAAACAAATGACCTGAAAAAGGTCTACTTTTACAGAAGAAGTTCTTTACAACAAGGCATCAATCTTACCATTGTGATCGACGAGACCCTTCAGGAGAAGGCAAACCATACCTCATCACCGCATTCAGGAACGATTTACGCTGTCGCAAGTTGAAACCAAAAACCTGGATAACATAATAAAATACACTTTAAACTTTCAGTTCACTTCAACGGAACCTAAACAGTCTTGAAGGGGCGTATAAATAGTTTACTTTTTTCCTCATTAACTGAAACACTCAAACTCGATAGACTGTAACTGACGCTTGGCCATTAGTTGCCTAAACTACGAGGAAAAGACCGAAAATGTACAACTTTGTCAAAGTAAGTTATCTGGAGTAAAATTGATTTACCTTTCAAAATCGTTACTCAAATCCCACTGACAAGTTCAGTACACACATAAGTTCCTTTCACAAATAGTGCCGAATGACCTCAACTCTGTTCTAAGGGTCCACAGATCTTGTCGAGTAACATTTTTGAATATGTTAAATTAAGTAACATACCTCCAAGTTGCCATGCACTTTAGCCAGCATAGGAGGAGTGATTTCCCTGTCAGTAGCAGATCGAGTACCTCTCCGCTGACGACCTGCCATTAAAAGAAAACAAAAAAATAATTATTACAAACATTATCGGCAGCTATCGATGCACCTTTATAAAATCTTTTTTATAAAGGTTTTCAAGTACATTTATATTCAAAGAAATCTTTCTACGGTGCCCAGTTTAGTTATTCCTTCCGATGCGGTAACTCAGTTCAGAAATTTTGTACAGCTACAATGGCGGCAAACTTACTCATAATTCTTGAGACAGAACAAAGGGAATAAGAACGCCGAACTTTTCCTGAGACGAACCAAGGTCTCATTTGGGTCGACCTAAATTAAATTAAGATCGTCCGTTGGGTCAGAAGTCGAACTTAGGACGCGTCGAACCAATCAACTGAATCAGATCAGCAATAAATTTTCTCCCGAACGAGGCTAAATATACATTATTTATACATAATTTTAATTTACTAGTTTAGTTCGTCGCATGTGAAGATCAACGTTTGTCCCGGAGACGATCTTCAAAAGGAAGAACGTGTTGGACGATCCAAATTAATTCATACGAGCTTAACTGAGCCAAATGTAGAACTTTTCATGAACGTAACTCACTAAGTTTGGTTCGTCTCATGAAACGTTTGACGTTTGGCCTGGGCCTAACTCTGGTAAAGGAGGTCAGACAGGGTGCAAAGAAAACCATTTTAACAGCTTGCCTTTCGGGCAAGCTGAAGCTAGAGTTTACTAGCCCAGACGTCATTTCAAATGGCCCCAAACCTTTTTGACGAGCAGAATTGATTTCACAGTTCTTCTGTTATTCAAATTCCCCAAAAAACATCACTTGCCCGTCAGGCAAGTTAAAAACAGAATTCACTTGCCCGATAGCAAAATCCACTAGCCCCGGGCTATCGGACACTACTTTCTTTGCACACTGTCAGAGTATCGGATCTTGATAACCATAAACCTTCCGCAAACTTAGACTTATCCAGACACCTGAAAGTCATGCAGTCTTTACACATCAACTACACCAGCGATATGTTTACCAAGCTTATTGCCGGAGCCAGATAATTTACCATCCGGCTGCAACTGTTACTTATACCTTCTGCCTTTTGATTGAACTCCTCATCTGATTCCTCTTCATCAACGTCACTGTAACCGTCATCTTCATAGTCCGACAAGTTATTAGTCCATGCTGTAAACACAATCAGTCTACATTAGATACCATGCACTCTGTAACAACTTACTGATATCTTCGTTCCACACAAAAACAATAGCTACTTTAACAAGACACCTTTTTTCAGTGGTTATCTCCAAAATAACTTGATTTTGCCTAAGTGATATTGAATGGTTATTTTTTCCAGTAAATACTTCGTTCCACTTTTGCCCTTAAAATGCAGGCGTAAATATTGTGCATCAATTTCAACTTGGTTTAATTAAGAATTTGTTCATGCTTAGCGTGCGTATATATAGTTATGGATGCACGTGGGAAGTTTGGAGAGCACGATAGAAGCCCAACTCTAGCTTCTTGAATTTTATAGACGTCTGCATACGTCATCTTATTTACGCATGCCCGAGCGTAAATAAAGATTTTGACCCTATATGGATCATTATACGTTTCTGGGAAACTGCCCACCTACTCCTCCCCTAAGCCAACATTTTGCCCTAAGTGGGAAGTGAGGGTTAATGTTAGCTCAGGGAGGGGTGGGGAGGCAGGCAAACACGCGCGCTACGTTATAAAGCTCGTGACCATTTGCTTTTACCTCTGGTAATTTGTGATGATGATTTCGAAACTAAGGAAAGTATTTTGGGCGCGAGAGAAGCGTGCAGGGCGCGAGAGGAAGGAGCTCTTCCTCGCGCGGGGTCTCGCGCCCACATTTTCTTCCCTTTCGAACGCTGGTTAAAGTAAAACCAGTTAACGGCCTTTAATGGGTTAGTGAGCGAGTAAGTGTTCTCACTACCGAGAGTTTGTAGTAGCGGCCGAGAGTTCATTTCAGAAGTCGGTAATTCTCACTTTTTTTCTCGGGAATTTCGCTCCTACCCGTATCATCAGAGTTTCCGTTATAGCCAGGTGTCCTCAAGACGAGTTCACCGTTAAGGGACTTGAATGTCTTTCAAATGAATCGCAGACTGAGCAGGGGTTAAGGAGCGTAGTGCAGTAGTAACCACTCGATTAGCCCTCCCCAAACAGTTTATGGATGCAAAAAGCCAAATTACCTGATTCTTCCTGATCTTCCACGCCTCCATCAACATAGCTCACCTGGGGATACACACAGAAGCAGTTTAGAGATAAGTGACCATACTACGTAGCCTTCTAAATACCCAAATTTCAACTGGTTTCCATGTAATCGCAACAATCGGTTAGTAAACGTTTAGCGAGCACAGCGAACATTGTCAGTTCTGTTTCAGGATGGCTTAAACGTTATCGTAAAGATGGCTACACTCTTTTTCAGCGGATCGAACCAATCATATGAATCGATGAACAGGCAGTTTTCTTTGGAAATATTAATTGTAACACGTCATGTTGCGCTTTAGATCATCACCATCACCAGACAATATTTACTAGAAAATGGGCGCTATTCCAGGCGAGAAAACTTTCTATCAGCGAAAAAGAAGATCACTGCAATCCAGTGACTACACCGCCCCGAAGGAAAAATCACACCAAGTTGTTCAATAGTCAAAAATAAAAATTTAATTTGTGCCGTTAAGTGCTCATGCTTCGACTATTATGTAAGAGTTATTTATGTGTCCTGTGTCCTTTCAGATTAGAGGCTGCCTTTAGGCTCTAGAAGTGTTCAGCATCAAATTTCTCATAATATAAATACTTTATAATACAGAGTGGTTGCGAAAATTAAGGACGTGATCACACAAGATCAATTTAACTGACACTTTAAAAACTTTTCCCCACCACTTCTAGAGGAAATGAGAAATTAAATTTTGATCCTACAATTTAAGTAAAGTTACAGTTACCTGTTTTCTGATTCTTTTTCCCTTTCCAAGATGTCGCGCCTCGTCTTCTTGGAACTGTTCGTAATGATGGCGTAAAAGTTTCTCCCAGTAGTCAGGGTCTGCTTTCTCTGCATCTTCACCGTAATTTTTAGGGAGTTATTATAACTCCAAAAATGGAGTAAAAATTTTAGGTACAGGATAACCCCTTTTTTGGGGTTATTTTAACTCCTAATTAAACTCCGAATTTGGGGTCATTTTTACTCCTGAAAAAGAGTTCTTTTTACTCCCAGTCGTGGAGTTAAAATTACTCCGAAATGGGGTTACTTGTACTCCTTACAGGGGTTGTTTTCACTCTTTTTGGAGTTAATTTAACTCTGAAAGTGGAGTAAAAATTTTAGGTACAGGATAACTCCTTTTTTGGGGTTATTTTAACTCCTCAAAATCTGTGGTCACTTTTACTCCTGAAAAAGAGTTCTTTAAACTCCTTTTTGGAGTTAAAATAACTCCACGAAAAATAACTCCACTGTAAGGAGTTAAATTAGCCCCACTAGAGGAGTTATTATAACTCCCTGAAAATTACAGTGTATAGTTTTCACTAAGTCTCTAATTACCCCAATACAACAAAAACAATCCAAATCAGTATTTTATTTCATCTGAAAAATACTGTACAGTGAAACATGCACGTGTCACTCATTATTATGTCAGGTTAGTGACACAGAGGAGAGGCACAGATAAGAACCAGAATTCTTCAGGCTAAGATTTTGAAAGAACCAGATGAAGTAGAAATGTTAAAACAGATCGCTATGGAGTTCTTAAAGTCCACTAATCATTCTAATGGCAAAAAAAATTTCTATTGGCTTAAATTGCAGTCATTTAGACATAACAACATGCATATTTTGTACAAACATTTAAAACCTCCAACATTCTTACAAAAGTCTTTTTTTCCTTAAGAAAATAAGAACCTTGAATGTTTGAGAACCTAAACAACTTAATTTCCAAGAAACAGAAAATTTATAAGAGCCTTTTGAGGCTAACTTCGAAAAGCACCTATTACTTAGTCCTTACTGTATACTACTAAATGTAAGAGCAGGAGGGGGGGAGGGGAGGAAGAGTTAGGGTTAGGGTTTTAGGGTTAAGGTTAAGGTTGGGGTTAGGGTTAGGTTAGGGTAAGGACTAGGGATAGGTTAGGGTTAGAATCAGATTAGGTCGAGGTTGGGGTTAGGGTTAGGAATAGGTTAGGGTTAGGTTGGAGGTTAGGGTTAGGAATAGGTTAGGGTTAGGTTGGAGGTTAGGGTTAGGAATAGGTTAGGGTTAAGTTGGAGGTTAGGGTTAGGTTGGAGGGTTAGGGTTAGACGAGCAGTCTCAACTGATTTCAATGGTCATAACACATGAGTTGATCCACTGAGTTAAACGTTCGCCTTGTCAGGAAAAGGGTGTTACGTTAAGCTGGTTAGGGTGGATAGCTAAAGTTGAGCTAAGGCTTAGGGTTAAATAAGGATAAAGGTTACAAACAAGAAGTACAGTTTGTTGAGGGTTAACGTTTGAGGGACTTCTGGGCAGGATACCAAATAACGTTGCGTTACATATCAATTACATCGCCGTACTGAGCGTAGGATTGAATTTCAAAAGACGGGTCAGGAGGTGAGAAATACAGAGATGTAGTTTCAATACAGGCGATTTTCGAAGACTAAACACTGGTCAAGCAAATAGTTTTAAATTAACGTTATCTTACAAGACGTTTCGCTTCGCTTTCTTCGTGTTTGACCACAGCAGAGCACAGATAATATAAACATTTCAGAGAGTAAATATTCCAGCTCCGAGGTGGCGAGTAAAACCAACGGCCACATCTGAAAGAAAAGGACAAAAGGAAAACCTTGTTTAAAGAAAATTCCTCAACACATGTTTAAAAAGTAATATATCTTTTTACATCATTTTCCCTAGATCAGTTTCGTCCCGCAATGGTTTTATAATCGCCCGTACCGGTGCATAAAGCAGATTAAAAACATTGTACCGAACATTCCAGACAATCAAGCATAAACGGCGCTCGTCGTCGCGACGGTGCTATAGCGCGGGAACTTTAACATGCTTTGAGGAAAAATAGTTACTCTTCCGCGATCCGATCAGCATTTAGCTTGCAATGCCAACAATAAATTGAAAATGAACGACAATTCAGCCTGTGCAGTAGGACGGCGGCTCTTTTTGGACACAGTAAATTTCCAGAGTCGCTCGACACATGACCAAAAATAAACCTTCGCTATACGAAACCACAGACTTTGACTTCAACTACACTTTCACGACTTTGTAACATAACCTTTCCTGGCAAAAAGCCTGCTACTCACCGTTGTTGCTCGCTTATTCAAAGATCAGCACCTCCGTCGTAGAAACTGAAACACAACAACAGAACAGTCTCACTGTAATGGTCAAATATTAAACATGTTTTTAACCTTTCTCGCAGTGCATTCTGGGAAATCCGTCTTCAACTCGTGCGGGACACATTACATCCTGGCAATAACAACACAATTTAGAAGTCTCCAGCAAGGCAAAAATCACAGCCAAATACTTCGTTGGCCCTCTTTTCTTATGTCCAAACTAACCAATTTGCCCCTTATTGCCTGCTGGAGACTTCTTCACGGTGTGCAGAGCTGGGCAGAGACGTTATACACCATCCACCGGATGGTCTCTCGGATTGTGCCCGAAGCTCGGTTCTTTGAGCAACGAGCGCCCATTTAAGCCTTCCCGGACTTAATGATGTCCCAGGCACTTTGCAAACCGTGGAAATAGAATTTCTTGCCAAACTCGGCTCATATTAGTCCCCGTTTCGCACACGCTCCGATCAAAACCTCTCCATTCACGAAGAGAGCCGTTGAAAGGAGAAAGATACCGCGCAAACTCGAACCTTTCAAAACTAGAACCGGTTCCCCTCGGACAAAAAAAAAAAAACGGAAGTCCTTTCTAAAGCGAGTAAAAAGAAAACAAGAAATAAAATAAATAATAAACTTACTTCTGTTGACTTCCACGCTGCTCCTCCCTGGTTTTCTTTAATGAAAAATATCTATGATAAAAAATGACATTTCATAAAAATAATTTACATATATAATATACACCGTAATTTTTAGGGAGTTATTATAACTCCAAAAATGGAGTAAAAATTTTAGGTACAGGATAACCCCTTTTTTGGGGTTATTTTAACTCTAATTAAACTCCGAATTTGGGGTCATTTTTTACTCCTGAAAAGAGTTCTTTTACTCCCAGTCGTGGAGTTAAAATTACTCCGAAATGGGGTTACTTGTACTCCTTACAGGGGTTGTTTTCACTCTTTTTGGAGTTAATTTAACTCTGAAAGTGGAGTAAAAATTTTAGGTACAGGATAACTCCTTTTTTGGGGTTATTTTAACTCCTCAAAATCTGTGGTCACTTTTACTCCTGAAAAAGAGTTCTTTAAACTCCTTTTTGGAGTTAAAATAACTCCACGAAAAATAACTCCACTGTAAGGAGTTAAATTAGCCCCACTAGAGGAGTTATTATAACTCCCTGAAAATTACAGTGTTGCTGTTGATAAAGAATAGCAGTAGAATAGAACTTTTTCAGGTTTCTTGTTATTAATGCTCATGATAATTGACTCCAAGCCTCGCTAGCAAAGTTCAAACAACAAAAGAATTTTCTATCCAAATCGATACTAAGAGGTAAATTAAGATGAAAATAAAGGAAAAATAATAACATGGAAAAGGTCCAGCTTGTGGGAACATGCTCGGATTTGTTCAGGAAAATACCACAGAAGAAGTGAAAAGTTGAGAACTGTTTTTTGCGGAATGTACATCATCGCGAAAGACGTTAATCAACTATTTAAAAAAAAAGATGGCGATTTTTTTGCTACCTTGAGAACTTCTACATCATCATCTTTCTGCTTCACTACATAGCTTGCGACCTGCAAAGAAAGCCACAAACACCAAAGTGTTAACAGGATATACTGAAAATAATAACTAAAAAAACTTGGATGGCATAAGGTCGTACATTTGGTAATAAAAAACACTTGTAACTCAATGGCTTTGAGAAAGGTTCACACAAACCACAAACTGATAAGCGCAAACTGAATGATACGGTATCACTATTCAAGTTGGTATTTTTCATTAATTGAATGTTTCCAAACTTTGGTGTGGCTAGGTTATAAGTCACTTTATCTTTTAAATCTGTAATGGAATCCTATGGTGTTCTGTATGCATGTCTAAATGCAACATCAGTTACACTTGACTACAGTGCAGGGAATAATTCACTACTATCATGGAGGGAGACATTATCATGTCTGAGCGATATACTACTCCAGTAGCCTAATGCTAAGGCTCCAGGCCCTGCTCACTCATGTTTAATATCGCATGTCATAGAAGTGGTGTGTATACATGTAGATTACAATCACCTAAAGTGAGAGAAGTCATCAACAAGACACAGCAAGAAAATGCTGTCATCCTGTTCCTTCTCTTTTGACATGCTTTAGCCAAAAAGCTGGCTATGCTATTCAACTATATACCATTGGAAAAAGGACGACACATAAAACTAAAAAGAAATCCCATCCGTTTGATTCCCCGCCCACTTTTTGTATTTAAGCCCGGTTCTTATATGCCGCTGATGCACCTGCGACATGGCCACCGGTACTGCCTGGGATACTGTTCCAATATGAGAACAGAAGTAGCCAGCAACATTGGTCATCCCAGTCTTTACCGCTGGCATGCCTGCGAAGCTGACTCGAGTTCATCTTCGCAGGCATGACGGCGGTAAAGCTTTGTGATGGCTCTAGTTGCCGGCGGCGCATGTTCTCATTTGTCCAAGAAGTAGCCCAGGTGTTACCAGCAGCGTTGTACATACATCAGCGGCATATGAGAGCCAGGCTGGCCTAGGGTAGCTAGGGTAGGCAAGTGACCCTTCTACACCCGGTACGACGTTTCTCCATATAAACAGGGCCTGAGTCTTACCTTGAAAGAAGCGAGGTATTCATTAGCCAACATGTCTTTCTCTTCATCAGGAGCATCATCGTGGCTACTGGTACGGTCCAACAGTGACATGATGGCTTTTTCATCATAATCTATGCGGCCTGAGTCACCCGAGTCTGACAATAAAAGAAAATCAATTTAGAAAGTATATTACAGCATCCTTAAGAAATAAGGTCTCGCTATCTCCTGTTTTTTCCAATTCTTTATTTTTCTTAGCAGCAGAAAAACGTGGCAGGGCGTGGAAGATGGCTCACTCATGTTTTACTCCTTTTGACACCCCAGGGAAAAAAAAAAACTCATATTCTAGACTTCAGCTCCTTTCACCAACTGATACATATCTTGTCACCAGTTATAAACCATTTAGGAGTTATCAATAGCGTCTGCAATGTCTTCCACGTACCAGCACTTGTTTTTTAGTAAGTTAAAAAAGAGAAACATAATTACAACATATATTTTGAATTAGAAAAACGCAAATGCCACTGATAATGTACAGCGTATCCTCGGTCTTGTTTAAATGATCATTTTTCTGGAAGTTCTCTTTGTTTGTCTTCATTAAAGTGTAACGTAGCTTAACAGGGGCACTAAACGACGGTTTCCTCGTACATGCATGGAACACACTTCTAAGGCTACTCAGAGTACTTTTAGATCTCTAGAAATGTATTCTAAGTGGCGCTAATGAGTCTTTTTTTAAAATAACAAGGGCTTCAAAATTATTTTCCCGAAAACGTAAGCTGTAATTTAAAGTTATACGAAAGTGGGAATTTTTCTGATTCCTCTCTGCATCGCATTCCCGGTTGCGAAAATTTAGGTTTCCTTTCTCTATGAAAAAATAGCTTAACCTGGGGAGTAAAATGGGAAAAATTAAACTTCAGAAAATCGTAAGGAATTTAATAGATAAGCTTCGAAAATTGTACATGAATGGTCATCTCGAACGTTCTAGCCTTCCTCAAGCTATAGAAAATTCTAGGCAATTGTTGCTTCTCCGAACAGACATTTCACAGAAAACAGTCACTGGGTGCCCCTGGCTTAAGGTAGCGTCAGGAATGTTTTGACTCTCTAAAGAAAGGTATGTCAGTAGAAGACTAACCTCCATCTTTAGCATTGTCATCCTTGAAGAGTTCTTGTGTTCCAAATTTGAGAATATCATTGAGCTCACTCTTAGACATGACAGCAGTTTTGCTGGATCCCAAGCCGGGTCTAACCACAAGATGAGTCAACATCATCTTCTTCTTGGCAACCTTTAGCGCAAAGATCAAAGTCATCAAAGCTTAAGGGGTCATATTATACATCTACAACAAAAATAGCGCTTTTAAAGGATTTGCTTGTTTCACACTGATTGTTGAAGTAAATTAGTCGAGATTGAGGTCTCTCAATAAACAAAAAACATATACTTATCATAATTTTCCAGATATTTTGATCATATTATTTTAACACAACATTTTCAGAACTGGGATGCAATTATACACAAAAGTAGCCATTCTTCAATGTTTTGTTTCCACTGAGCACTGTAGTTTGATAAGGTTCTGATATAGGCAATTGGACTCGGGTGAACAAAGCAATATTGGATTGAATGTTCATTCACTGCAACCCTTTCCTTGATTTGGAAGGAATTTCTCGTGTATTTCCAATTTGGGTTATTCCAACCACAACATTCCTTTAAAAACCTAAAACATGCCAATTATGCTTATTAACATTCATTTTGCCGGATATTTTTTCTATAGCTAATAAGAACCTGTGACACAATTATCAGCATCATCACAGACTGCACTTCCCTGCTAGCAGAGGTCTCTCATGATACCTCTGCTAGCAGGGAGAGACCACACCAGCACACCTCCAAATTAAAACCACCAAGGAAGGAGCCACAAACTTGTCCCATTAACGTGTGGTAAGAATCCAAACAATTATTGTTTAGACTGTGTTTGCAATAGCAGAAACTGACTATACTTTGTTCCATCGCTTAAAATATATATTTCCCCTTACATTCGTTATAATGTACAGCACTATGTACCTGTGTGATCCGCTCTTCCACACTGGCCCTTGTAACAAAGCGGTAGATCATAACCTAACAAAGAAGACGGAGACTCATAATGTAATTTTGATATTCTACATGTATTGAAAAGTAATGTCTTAACTGACGCTCCATGAGGGGGACATAAAAAGTCTGAAGACAATGACGCCTCTCTCAAGTGCACTGGAGGGTGAATTAAGAAAAGTCTCTGAATACAGGGCTAAACTGCACAGAACAATACGAATGAATTGGACGAAATGAAATGAATGGATGAAAGAATGACTGAATGCATGAAATGAATGAAGAGTTACGGAAGAAAGAACATCAGACGTGTTTTTTTACAGTACATTATATATTAACAGACACGCCAAGGTCTAAAATCAAAGATTGTTTGATGGTCTGGCCTGGGTTTGAACCCATGACCTCCTGCTTGGAGGACTGGAGCCCATTTCTCGAAAGTCCCAGTAACTTTCCAGGCTCGAAATCAAATATTCAAATAAAAATGTAAAGAATAAAATCGCGCAAGTCCTAGCCAACAAACCCGTTCATTGTATTTTCTTAACTGATAATTTTATTACGTTGCCTACAAAAGTACTGAAACCTCTATCTTGAATGTAAACAACAACAGCTTTCTGGGTGACCCCGTAACAATCGGGACTTTTAATAGAGAAACAGGCCCCAGGTCCTTATCCAGCTGAACTAACTAGCATAAATGAAGACTTTATACAATAAAATAATACACAAGGCACTGAAGAGCACCACTTTGTTAATTAAATACCTTATTGTTTTGACCAATTCTATGAGCTCTGCTGAACGCCTGTGAGGAAAGACAAGAAGGGAAGAGAAGCAACACACATGTACAACATCTTATTAGGTTGGCTTATTTTTAAGTTGCTACGTACGCTCTAGTGGATAAAAAATCTTGTAATTTCTTTTTCTACTCCAGGGTGAAGCAGGTCACAGCTTTGTAACTGTTAACATAAAACCTAAGTATAAGGAGGTATACTAACATACCAAATTTTCTAAACTATTGGATTGGCCAGAATACAATTTTTCATGTTAATGTCACTATTTATGTACATTATATACCTGGATGTCATTGTGAGGATTCCAGTCTGAGTCATATATAAACACAGTGTCAGCTGTGGCTAAATTGATGCCCAGACCTCCAGCACGAGTAGAAAGCAAGAAGCAAAACGTCTGTGCACCAGCAGCTTCAAACAAACAAACAGAAAAAGAAAAGGCAAGAAAAACAGAGCTCTGATTAGCATCAAAAACAATATTTATAAAACATTTCAATAACTGTAATGCAGGGCTGTCAGTAAGATTTCAAGTTTCAAGGAGTATTCAATTAGTAGTAGTAGGTAGTAATTGAACAGCTGAGGGGTTCTATTGGTTTTTTTTTTCATTTTGCTAACCTATATAAAGCATCTGGGGATTCATGTTCCTTTTACAGGGTTCATATAAGGTCAGGATTTATACATGGTCAGGATTTTAATGAAATGAGGATAATTTCAATTTTTTATATTATTTATCAGATAAACACCACGAAAGGGTACAAATTTGCCCGCCACTAGAAGCTTAGTTTTAGAAAAACAGGAGCACTAAATACAATACACTCACACAATCTAAAGTAAAAGCCTGTCATTGATTCGCACCATCTTATACCATAGTTCTGGCATTTTGGTCAGAGGACAGTCAGCAGAAAAGCACATTTTCAACAGTAAATATTTCTTTCGCGAAAATACAGTTTTAACAGTAGCAGAATGAACTATAGCTGAAGATTAAGATAAACAAGTAACTGTTTTGAAGATCACCCTAGCTACTTCCCAATTAAAATTACTGAAATGCTGTTTCCTCCTGCATCACATGTACTTACCATTAAACCTATCAATACATTCCTGCCTAGCTGCTCCATTGACAGTTCCATCAATTCTTTCATATTTGTAACCGTGCCCCTCAAGGAAGTCTTCTAAGATATCCAGCATTCTTGTCATCTAGTTTGGCCAACAGCAAACCAGGAGGGGCATTAGTATGTGCAATATTTATAATTGACAATTATTCTACGAGTGCGCGTAGGCTATAATTATCTCATATCCAACATGCACTCGTAGAATAATATCGAAAATATCGAGAATTCTTCCCAACTTTATTTGTAAAAAGAACCAATTTTCAGCTGAGAGCATGGTATAATAGCTCATATACCACGATGGCTACGCTAATCAGAACTCTAGAATTGGCCAGAGTTGTCAGTAAGATTTCAAGTTGCCGGGTAAATACAACAAGTAGGTGGGGAATCAAACGGCTAGGGACTTCTTTTGGTTCTATTTTTCTTCTATTTTTCAATAAAAGTAGCAGGGGGCCACTCTCTTAGTAGCCGGGGAAAATCCCCGGCCCCCGGCTCTTAATGACAACCCTGCAAATTGCATTATCCAATAATTCAGTTTTTTATAATACTTATTACTATAGCTCAGTTTAAAAAAGAGTAATAGCGTGAAGTGTGGAGAAGGCATGAAATCATTTAAGACATTGCTTGGAGGGGGTGAGTGGACAAGGACTTTGAATTGCACTGTAATGTTTTTCACTCACTAAAGGTATTTAAGGCTTTTGCAAAGGCCAACAGGGTGATGCCAAGAGAAGGGCAGAACAACACATTAAAAGAATATTCAGCTGTACATTTACCAATGACTTAGTTTCACAACCATGCAAACTGTTTGGGAATTTTCTTGACTTTTAATAAAATAATTGTTAGTAATGTTTGGAGCATATATACATGTCAACAACAGGGTTTTCGGTGGCACTTGGAAGTACCGGATGCAGTGGTTCAGCTGGCGGACGTGCACTGTTCGCGCCGCTGCCGCGAACGTTGAGTGCCGGAGACGCGAACTCCTAGGGGGTCCCTAGGCATACCCCCCCCCCCCAGGAAATCTGTAAAATTGGACTCTCTAAAATGCAATTTCCTGCGTTCTCTGGACCGGAATTATCACAGGAATCATCTCTTTTTTTCGATTGTATGCATTACATAACTAAGTGAGTAAAATAAGGGTCAAGTCTTTCTTTGGTTAATAAATGCAAAACAACGATTTTCACACTTGAAAAAAAGAATTATTTCGTTTTTGAACTACCGGACGTTAAGTCCGGCATCCAGCTGAAATGAAACCCCTGCAACTATAAGCAGTTGGATCTATAAAGTGTAGTTCACGTTACCTGTGAAAAAATGAGAACTCTGTGTCCTTCCTCTCGTAATTTTTTCAACATTTTCTCCAGAAGGACCAGCTTTCCAGAAGCACGAGTAAGAGCTGCTGTGTCATAGTTACCATTAGCACTTCTAGGAGCCTCCTAAGGTCCATGCAAATGACATAATGGAGAGATTTAGAATAATTTATTATATCTTTGGCGAACGGAAAAAGTCTAATTCTAGCCGTTCATTTCTCAAATTAGGAAACAAAAAGATAGAAGATGTGTAAAATAACTTAAAATAATTCCTTCAGGTAAACCTGGCATAAAACGCCTAATTTTTTCATTTAGCTATATATAATAAATAATAAAAGACAAGCGAAGGGAAAACTTGGTCAGATGCCCATTTATAGTAAAAAAACAGGCGTGCTGCTTTCTACACAGTTTTTCAAAAGCTCTCTATTACTTTGACAGGATCCCATCCTGGGCAGCCTATCACTAAATGGTATTTAAGGATAAGACCTGTTAATAGTTCAGGCTGTTGTGAGTGATTTCCCAAAAGGAAATGCACTGGTTAGCTGTGGAGGCGTAGTTCAATCAGGAGTCAAGTGCAAAATGGAGAATTTTGAGTTCATTTTACAGACGGCAAATTAATAAAAGTGTAGTCATGAAAAATCATTAGAAAAAAATTTCTAACCTTTGAACTTTCAAAATGAGTAAACAAATCTATTTTTTTTGCCCCATGCATCAAGTTTCAAATAATAATGTTACATAAGTCAGAAATATCAAACTGACATATTTACCAGGGCTGCAGAAGAGAACAAGTATGGATGGTTGCAACATTTCTTCAGTTCCATCATCACATTTAACAAAGACACTTGATGAGATCCTTTGGTGTTCAGAGCCTCAAAATTTCTTGTTAAAATGTATTTGTAGTATTTCCTGTAAAACAAACCACAAAAAAACATTCAATTTTTGAATCCACACCTTTGAGTGCTGCCCTGACATTCACTTGCCTTATTCCTGTATTGTCTTTACTCAAGCTTTCCCTGTCATTAAATTTCACTGAAATATACTAAAGCATCACTCGGACAATGTGGCCCCGAAAAAGGTGCGTGGTATTAATGGAGCCTACGAACCTGGCAAGATATTTCACACATCTTGTCCTTTCACAGTGATTTTGTTTACTTGTCTGAATAGTCACTTGGTTTCGCAGTTAATTGGAAACATGTCTCTTGATAATTATATAGGACACTTGAAGCATACTGTAGAAGGCCCTGTTGTCATTAATACAAGTGTCAACGCTACTAACATAGTAAAATGTTGGTCACCACCACTTTTTGTTAGGACGTCTCTGAAAAAAAGTCACGACTAGCTCTGGCCAAGTATTGTGATCTTTAAGAATTCTGGAACATCCTTTTAACAAAACCCAGATGCTGAAAAGATAAGCCAAAAAGTTCCTTGTGACACTTTTGAACTGCTATCTTCTGTTGTATAAACAAAATGGATTTAATAGCTGTTTTATGAGAAGGAGACTCCAAAACATCTGCAAACATACTTCTGTTGAGGACTCAATTCAACTCTGACGATAAGCTCACTCTTGGAGGGGATTCCTTTCAAGACATCTGCCTTAAGACGCCGCAGCATGTGAGGACCTAGGATATCATGAAGCTTCTTAATCTGGTCTTCCTTAGCAACATCCTCAAACTCTGTTAGGAAACTGTTCTGGCTCCTGAATTAGAAAAAAATAAGAATAATCAGATATATTAATTTTGTCCCCCAAAAGGGCTTCATTGTAACAAAAGATGACAGCTTGCAGGGCTTGGCTCTTATCTGAGAAAGATGATTTTCATTCCTGCAGTAATTTTGTTGCAAATTGCAGAGGTGAGAAAAATGACGAGTCTCAGTTCAAAAACAAAAGATTTTATTGGAGCTTAAGCATGAAAATGCCTTTGTTTTTTCTTTCAGTCATTACTTTTGGACTCATTTCATTGCAGATGATATTGCTCACTTGAATTCAGACAACTTTGATAACAGATGTGAATTCACAAACAGGATATTCTTCAAAGACATCCTCAGGCCACGTGATTGATCTGTGCATCCTACAGGATACATGTTGTTTATTGATATTTGTGTCTTTAACCTCTTACTAGTTGGTAACATTTAAAAAAAAAACAAAGTGGAATAAATTATGGTTTCACTAAAGTTAAAAACAATAGCATGCTTAAACTCTGCAGGATCAAGGAAATTCAACAAATTCCACAGCTCTTCAAGGTTGTTTTGAAGAGGTGTTCCTGTCAGTAGCAGGGTATAGTCTATCGAATAGGCACTGAGAATCTGGAAGAACTAAAAAGACCAATCAAATAAACAAAAAAGCATGAAACAATCTTGCGATAACATGGTTTAGGAGTGAAAGAGTTAAATAAAACATGCACAGGAACACAAGGCTTATAAAGACCACACAGAGTTGTGACTCAGAATCTACACTAGTACGCAGCTTCATACCCAAGAATAGAGCCAAGTTATGTAATTTGTGGGGCAAATTTTTACTTTGTTTAAATCAAAGAAAAATAAATTGAACAAGGGGAAAATGTACCAGCCACTATGTGCATAATACCTTTAATCAAAATAACTACCTTGCATCGTGGACATCTCCAGTCTCCTCCAGGAATCTTTTTCATTGGTGGAATGAGGCAGTGCAAATGATAGGCAGATGGACAACTATCACAACACAATAACTGGCCACCATCTTTACACACTCTGCAGTAATCACTATGCATGTCTTCACTGGAGTCACTTGTCATTTCATCTTCCTGGATAATGGAACAAGATAACATACCATACAGGCACAGTTAAGTGCAGATGTTACCGCTTTGACTCTCCATTCAACTGAATAAAAAGCTGAATAGAACAGACTAAAAAGGACTGGATACCAGACAAAAAAAATGTGCAAAATTGAGAAAACCAAGTTTCATGATGTCTAAAACCTACATCAACAACATCCTACATAGTTCAGGTTTTGTTCTTGCTCTTTCCTACCTATGCAATTCTCTGTCATGTTCATATAATCTATATACCATATTTACTCGAATAAGCGCCCAACCTCGAATTAGCGCTCATGCTAAAGGCAGAAAAAGTTAATAAGCACACACAACCCACCCCCACCCCCTCCCCTCCCACTCAAACTCAAACTACCCCCACCCTCACCCCCCTTCCTGCTCCCACCCCCCAATCCCAAAATGAATAAGTATTAATACAGTGTAAGAGACGTCCCAGAAGACGGAGTTTTCTTCAGAGTAGTTTACAGGAACCTTGCTTACATCTTCGCGTTTTGTTATTACCATTTATTGCAAAATAAACATACTGCACTTGCTGGAAATGGTGAAATTTTAATAAGCACCCAGCCTCGAATAAGCGCCCACCTCGAATTAGCATCCACCCTCAGGATCCAAAAATTTAATAAGTGCCCAGGGCAGTTAATCAAATAAATACGGTATGTGTATTTAGTAAAATCCCACTAGTGGCCTATTATCAATGCTGCATTCTGATTGTTTGAGCTACTACTAGGCTATAATGTTATAGCCGACTATTAGAGAAAAGCACTGGCTTTGAAAACCAAAACAGTGGTGGCTGAATCACGTTTTTCTAGCTAAAGTTGTTTTGTTTTGACCAACTAGTTGGATTTTACTAACACAATAATATTCCTCTTGCCCTCGTGGCCTCTGAGTCAATACAGAGCCCATTTGGGCTTGAGGAATAATTCTTACATATGCTGATATGTATACATTGTACAGTAGAGCCCTGACAACTTGAACTCGGAGAACTCGAACTTCCCGCTAACTCAAACTAAGTCCAATTTTTTTGGTTTTCACCCTACTTTTCAGTTTTTCTTACTTGGTTAACTTGCACTCATATAACTCGAATTCCCTGCTATCTCAAACTAAATTCCATTTCCCTTGATCAAAAATTCACCAAAATTTACCTCATAACTCGAATTCTAGCTCTCCTAACTCCACTCGGACGCCATCCCATTAACTCTTCTTTTAGTATAATCGGTAAAAACACTAAAACTAGCACTGGTCAACACTACATCAACTTGATTTTAATTGGTGCAAAGGACAGATAACATTTTATCATAAAAGCCATGAAATGATGCCTAATCATGTGACCTTTTCTGACAAAATCTGACCTGCTGAAAAATCAGTTAATTATCAATTTTTACTAACCCTTGCTAACTTGAACTGTTTTTAGTTCCCTTCAGAGTTCTAGTTACCGGGATTCTACTTAGTATATATATACCTCTGTCTGGGGTGTGTGTGTGTGGGGGGGGGGGGGGGTTTTAGCGGCATGACATTTTTAAGGATAAGTCTGGAGGCATCATGCTTCGTTGGTAAAAACAAAGTAGAGGGGCATTGATCCCCTCAGCAGACCCTACTCCTATGTAAGTGGAATTTACCAAGCGCTGTTTCTCAGTTTACTAGATTGTTTATAAAATAGTTTACTCTGCACATTGCTTCCAACTGAACAGAAGCCTCGTTCATGCTACTCAAGTTGAACAACTCAAAACTTTTACAACAAAGAAACTTCTTAATATAAATTCCTTGGCTCTACCACAGACACTGGATTCCTCTTAAAAGTAAAGAAAAACTTACACAGACAGGACAACTCCATCTTCCCTGAGGAGGTTCATCAAGTGGGGGATCCAGACAACGCAAGTGAAAAGACAGTGTACAGGTGTCACACAGTAACAAGTCCCCACCCTCTTCACATTCTTCACAGTAGTCCTGATGCTCATCCTACCATCAACAACACATACAATCAGTAGAAAATTTCTATCATGAAACAAGAAACACTTTTATTTGAATGGGATAATAGGAAGCTTAAGCAGCCACGACGACCATGGCGGTGATAAAAAAAATAAAACAACAGCTATGTGCTAGCCTGCGTACAGACGACCCCCCTCCCTCTTCGGGAGAAGAGACATCTGGGAATAACTGTCATTAATCACGTTCCAGTACACATTACCATAAATCATATTTTGTTGTTGTTTCATCTGACAGTTGAAAAGGTGTTGACAGACACCGACATGACTCGGGACTCTTTAAGAGAATGTATGCAGTTATTCTCTCGGATGTTCTCAACCTTTATAGCTCAGCTAGGTCCTAACTAGAATATCTTCCTAAAATGTCACACAACTAGTATATCATGCTTTTGAAGTTTTCTTTTAAAATTTTTTTTAGCATAATTTATAAAGTCGGTCTGTTACTGTGCATCGATTTCCTGTGGTTTTTGGTTTGAAAGAAGTTTTATCTCAAAAGTACTGTTTCCATTTCCAGTCAAGCATTTTATGCAGGAGTTGATCCATTCGATGATTTCAAGTAGGTTCCACGTAAGGATTGTTAATTACTTTTGCCTTTATTTTCTACTAATCATGATCAGCACATGTATAGTATAGGCCAAAAAATAGCCCTGGGGTCTGTACTCAGGCTAGCCAAACAGCTTCACACAATGTCCACACTAAAATCCAGATATAAGATCCCTGATTAAGAGTTGAATTCTGTACGTCCTTCCCTTTTTTTTTACAATACCATCTGGCAGAGACAGATGCACCCGCAACTGATGCAGCAAACATCAGTGGTCTTAATTTCGTATGCCCATTCCAGAGAGCCGAAATACAAGTAAACAAATATAAATGCGGTAAACTGTCCACAAAGGCTAAGGTTTTCCCCGGGGAATCTATTCTGAGATTCATTCACCAATCACAACACTGGAAACTATTTGCATCATGGCATAATTAACATTATAACCAATCAGAGGCTGTCCCCAACATTCCAGGGAAACAGGAACACAATTATCATCGGCAATTCACAGACGTCTCTTCTCCCGATTTTGTCTGAGGCAGAGGGGACGTCTGTACACAGGCTACTCTGTGCGTGCATCATGCATTTTGTTTATTTCCTAGCCTGCGTAGCTGGCGGTATTGTGTAGTAGTCGAGTGAACGAACGACGAAGCCGCGAGAAATACCGCCTGCCAGAGAACCATGATTTCTCGAATGTCGCCCATTTTTGTCACCTTAGCTGATCCCATTTAAATCAGCCGATTATTTTCGCGCAAGACAGTTTAGAAATAAGCGTTGACAGGCTAAACACGACTCCTAAGCTCGTGATAATGTGAAACGTGACCTCGTGAGTTTGCTTGAACAGAAGTTTTTTTATTTTCTCGGCTCTCGCGCGAAGGTTACTAGCACTACACAGTGCATGTATCATTCTAAACTTTGACTGAATAAATCTTTTTTTGCCAAGCTAGGCTTAACATTAAAAGGTCATGAAGCTGGTTTGTTACATGGATACTGAGTAACCATTTCCTGTGGTTTATTCTTCTGTAGGTGTTCTTGATAGGATTTGGTTTCAGATGCAGTTGTAAAGTGTTTTAATTTTCTTTGACCTTTGTTTCTTACGGCTAAATAAAGACAATTCCAGTGCTGTCAAGTTTAAACACGCCATTTCAGCAATTTGGTCATCAATTATGCTCTTTTTAAAGGGGAAACCACAATCACTTACGTCTTTTCCAGTTTGCCATCTGCTCCCTTAATTGGGAAATATATGCGAAGGATCATCTAACATGATTGACATATGTACGGCCCTCG